TATTTACACATGAAGCAAACCTTTCCTAATTTGCCTCTCATTGGCTGCACCCCTAGTCTATTATCACTGTAGCCAAAATTACAGTATCACAACCTAAAAATTTAGTAAGGGGCTGAAGAGATGGCTCAGCGGTTGAGAGTCCTGGATGCTCCTCCGGGAAACAGACTTGTTTTCCAATACCTACACAATGGCTCACAACCATAAGTAACTCTGGTTCAAGGGGATCCAACACTCTCTTTTGGCCTCTGTGGGCTATAAGCAGATGGTATAATGCACAACACCCATAAAATAAAAATGGTTTCATTTTTTATTTCCTTTTAAAACAAATGATTTAATTCAGTCATTATAATTTCTAACTTGTATTATTAGTCTGATGCATTAGCCTTGCCTATGCGAGGGAAATACTTCAGCACTGAGCTCTTCCCCAGGCCTTATGTCTTCATTTTGTTAACAAATATGCCTGCCTAATCTTGAGAAGAGCTTTATAAATCTCCACAGTTCAAGTGTCTTTAATCTCCATGCATTAAAGACACTTAAAATCATTCCCTCTGATCCACCCAAAGTTTCCAGCACCATCTCTTTAGTGACCCATATGCTGGAACTCATACCAGTCAGTACTATACTTTAAAAAAGGAAGTCCTCAGACCTTAATTGTAGCTGAGGACTTTTATGTTCTGTTAATCATAACCTACTTACACTGCTGTCAGAGCTCAGAAGAAAGGTAGTTAACAGCGCCCAAAGGCCTAAGAAAATAATTGTGACACTTGTGAAACTTGTGTTGTTAACTGGGACGAAAGCATCAATACTTAAGGATAACATACTCAGCAATGTTTAGTGTTATATGCCTTTAATTCCAAAACCAGGAAGGCAGAGGCAAGTAGATTTCTGAGTTTGAGGTCAGCTTGGTCCAGAGTGAGTTCTAGGATAGCCAGGGCTACACAGTGAAACCCTGTCTCAGAAAAACCAAAATGAACCAACCATGAATCACACCTAGCATATGGAACAAAGTTCTGTCCTAATATGGTTTGAAAGCTGACATGCACATAAACAATCCCACTACCTCCTGGGAAGATGTATGTGGGACTTCCACATCTGTTTCTACCAGGTAGGACTATTTCATGATCTGGCCACTCCCTAGCCCTTGACATACCACTTTCTTTCTAGTTCTATTTGTAGATAAGGAAATGAAGTGTAGGCTGAGCAACTTACTCCTTTATATACTGGTATGTGGTGAAAATTATGATTTGAGCTGATTAAATTTGAAAGTTTGTGCTCTTAAAACCAGGATACATTACTGAGAACTATTACAACTAGAAACATGTAACATGAACAAAAAGCAACACTGATAAACATACTCAGTGTTGGAAGCATGTATCACATCCTGGCCACACTATCAGGACAGAACTTAAAGTACCTTTTAGGCAAATGCAACATGTGGCAGGCTCATTTGTTTCTCTTGCAGCTCAATAAAACAGGGATTTAGTAAACAAAAGAAAGTAGATACTCAGCTAGAATTACCCATTTGCAAACAGTTGTTTCATTTTTAAACAGAACTTCTTTTAAGGATGGGGATGCAAATGTTTTCAAATATTTGTATATACAGAACTCAAAAATTTCAAAGTAAGAGTTGAAATAAATGCTATAGGGGAAGGTGCAACAATTTTAGATTTAAAATCTGCTAGTCACATTTATTCAGCAAATTATCCCAAATAGTAAATGTAAAATGAACTTTTCTTCTCTTGTTTTTTTTTTTTGGGAAGACTTACTGCCTCCTTCTGCTAAACCTAGGCCTAGTCCTGGAAGCTTCTAGCCTCTGAGACTTACTGCTTAGTAAGTTCACCTTTTCTTGTTCTTTCTAGCTCTGGGCTGGCTGGTTCAATTCAACTATTCTGGTTCAAACTCTTTTCCCATCTGACTTATTCAATCTGGCTTTTCTCCCAGCCTCCGAATTGCTCTGCTTGGCCTCAAACTAACTCCAGCAATCTTTTCTAATCTCTTGGTTCTTCATTCTCTGACTCATTTGGTCTTCACCAGAGTTCTCTCGCTGCAAACTGTCTATTACTGTGCTGGTAAAACTTTTCTCTCTCCCTCACTGCCCCTTAGGAAGCTTCCCTTTTCTCTCTGAGAGTTGGGCATATCCTACTCTGTCAACTCTTTCTCTGATTCTTCACTATTTCTGCCACCCAATTAGACATCACTTTCAAACACGGGTGCTTCCTTCTGCAAACTAACTTTACCTTCACTCTTTGGGATTAAAGACATGTACCACCCCGCCTGGGTCTAAGCTTTTCTTTACCTGAAACTTACTCTATACCAGGCTACCCTTGAACTCAGATCTGCTTGTCTCTGTCCTGGATTAAAGGCAGGTTTATATTCCAGCTGGATCACACAGACTTAGGTCTTTGGGTGTGATCTCTTGCAGAGCAGCCATGTTCTGAATGAACATTCCTCTACAAGTAAAGGTGATGTTTCTTTGGCTTAATCAGCTGTTTAAAGATTACAGGCAACAGAGTAAGAGGACACAGAAGGTGATATGGCTACTACTTTAGAAGGTACAACTCTGTTTGCAAAATACAGAATAAATAGTGGAACAATGCTAATGGTATATTACTTACAATACCAAGAAAGTAGCCTGAAACTACAAAAGAATTCTCGAAACAAAGAACCTGCATGTTGGCTGACTGACTAAATCACTTTATGAAATGCTTGTACCATTTAAAAAATTATAAAAAGCCCATTTTCATTCTGTCAATGAAACAGAAATCAAGAATTTATTTAGCCCTTTCCATAATTTTCAAAGTATTCTGACTTCATTTTGCAATTTGATTTGTTAAAACAATTTTTTGGGCAGTCACTACTAAGTACTAAACAATACCAACACAAAAAAATCCTTCCCCAGGGAATTAAGTACCAGTAGGAAAACAAACTAGAAGGATTACAAAGTGCTATGAAAAAGCACAGAGGAGTCAACAGGAAACCGAGGAACAGAAATATGAAATGACTCCAAGGACAAATACATAGTAAGTACTAAAATCAGGAATTAAACCTAAGCCTTTAACCCTGATGTGTCTTTTATCCACCAAACCTCTCTATATCATCGTTTGACAATACTATTAAGGGCTCTCCCACAGTTTCACAGTACGCCTCTGGCTGGCTTCAAGCTCACAGAGCACCTGCATCTGCCTCTTGAGGATCTCACTTCTGCCTTTAGAGTAGTTGCTATTACAGGCACATATCACCACAGGCTGTATGTATTCATGTAAAAAGAAAAAAAAAAAAAGCCAGTTTTCAAAAGATATTATCCAAATTCGAAGCTAATTTCAAATACCCTGAATTTTTTCAATTAACCCCCCCACCCCCCAACAATAGGCACACTTCTAGAACCCAGTACACCGTCATGTCACCATAGTGGATAAGGGAAACGAACAATTCAAAATAAAATGTACTGTGTTAGGAAACTGCTTGTTCAGCTCCAGCACCAGTCTGCGAATCAGCGCCTGCCATCTGGCATAAGTATCGATAAAAGGCACTACAATTTCACAAGTAACTGACATGCTTGAGGAACTGCCCCCTGCCTTTACAACTTAATGAGGAGAAAAATCAAGACTTCTCTGCTACACCTTTTCACCAAGAGACAATGTTTCTTCCTTAATGAAAACTTAATCATCCTAAATCTAGGGGATAAAAAGCCCCAATAGTGTGAACACACATTTAACTCTGAAGTTTTCCTTAATCTTATTAGGCTTTCAGCTTCTATAATTAAAAGATCCCAGTTTTTTTTCTCCAAGTTGTCCCTCAGTAGCATGATTTCAATAGGTGATTTTTCAATTCCAGGAATTCACTCTACAGAAATGCCCAACTAGAGCGAACACTTAACTCCCTTCAACTTTAATGGTTACATTACTGACTCTCTTGGGACTTGCTTTTTTAGTGAAACATGGTGGTTTTATCCTATCGATTCTCTGGCGAAGAGTTCAGTCTCCACTGAGTCAGAGGAAAGTTTTCGTAGTACGGGGCGGAATTTTTATTATTATTATTTTTTTAAATAAGGCCCCAATTCTCGGGACCCGGTAAAAGCAATGGACTCAGTCGTCGTGAGCTAGGGGTGGGAGGTCGGGGCGTTCTCCAGAGGCCTCCCCACCACAAGATGCCTTTTCCTTCAGGAGGCTGTTAAAAATCTACTCGGCTCACGCGCTTTCACGGGGTTCCTCCGCCCGCAACCACCAACGTTTCTGGCTCACAGGAGCAGCCGCCCGGCTAGACCCCCGCGGGCGGCGACGACGCTGTCCAGGCACTTCCCGCGCAGGAACGGGAAGGGAGGAGGTGGCAGCCCGGGGCCTAGCCTCGCTCGCCCGCTCCCGTCACCGGACCGCACTAGAGCGAATTCTTGGGAGAAGCGAGCTGCGGGGCCAGTCACCTGAGGTGTGTGTGCGAATCCCGAACCAGGGTCCCGCGCCGCGCTCCTTAATGGCAACGAGGAGACTCGGAACACGGACACCGAACGCCGAACCTCCTCAGCGTGCGCTTCGCTCAGCCCCAGCGCGCATGCGGACCCGCCTCTCACTGCGCAAGCGCCGGCAGGAAAGGCCCTTCGTTACCACGAACCATAGAGTCTCGGTCCTCCCGCTGGGGGCGGTGCGCCCCGCGGGACGAGTGGAGGAGTACGTTTCCTTGGCATTGATAGACTTGGCGGAGGGAGCTTAAAGAGCGGGTTCAAAAAGGCTTAAAGCAGAGGTGAGATTCCGTCAGCCTGCTCCAGAATGATTGCGTCACGTTTTAGTCAACCAACAGATGGCGCTGTGACGAAACACGGAAAGCCCAGGAAGGGGCGGCGCGTCATCCTCTCCTCACCCGTCACTCAGAGCGCGCTGCGCTCTGCGTCCGCGAGCTGCCGGCGGGAGGGGCGGTGAGGGGACCCGGAATTCCGGACTGGGGGCGCTTCCACATCCGGGCATTCCTCAAGGCCCGCCCTCTCCTCCCTCTCAGGCCCCTCGCCGCCGCAGCCGGAAGTGGGGACGGGTTTCCTTGTGGCCTCTTAGCAACGCGAGGGGTCAGGTGACAGCATCAGCTGACTCCGGTGGAGGAAGGCCCTGCGGCAGCCAGTTCTGGAGGTGTTGCCGTCCCGATTGCCCGGCCGGGGTCCCGAACCGAACTGTCACCGTCAGGATGTCGGGCAAAGACCGGATAGAAATCTTCCCTTCGCGAATGTAAGTGAGAGACTAGGAAAAGGGGGGCGCCGGGGTCAGGCGCATCTCCCAGGGGCGCCTTCCTGCGTGCCCTTGGCCACCAGCGAGGTTCCTCGTTCTCTGGGCCGCTTCTGAGCTTTCCCCAGGTTCTTCCCCCGGGTTCAGCGCGAGGCTTCCTCCCTGTCCTCCCTCCCCTGTGCCTTCTGAGAGAACAGACGGCAGAAAGTGGTTCCAGTCCAAAGGACGAGGGGCCCGCCTGCTGGATTGTTTTTTGGTTTTTTGTTTGGTTTTTTTTGGAGGTCCGATGTCTGTCTCACTCATTCATTCTACACAGCCTCTGAGCCACCCACGGAGTTTACGTAACTGAGCCGTCGCCATCTCTGCCACACAGGGCTCATCAGTGCAGAGCAGAGGGTTGAGGCTTCGTAGACGCTAAAGTGGTTTTGACCAAAGCTCTCAGGACGGGAAGTTATGCGATGGGAAGCCTAGAGAAGGCCCCTAAGCCAAAGATGGCATTGAATGAGTCGCCCTAGCGCAGCTCTAGGCTTCAGTCTCGGACCCTGTCAAATGTCACCTGCTGTGGGAAGATATCCCCGCGCTTCTGAGGCTCTTCATCCTCATGATAACCGCACTCTTTTCTACCTCTAGCGATGTCACCCAGGACATTGTCACACAGGTATTTGTAACCATCTGTGGGCTACCTACTGAATGAGGGAGACATATCTTTAATGGACAGAAGGTCCACAAACAAAATTGTTCCTTGACTCTCTCCTTGGCATCTGTTCAGTTGCAGGCTGCCTTTCTGTTTTGGCCTGACATGACTTTTTTTTTTATTTAAAAAAAAATTTTTTTTTGAGACAGGGTTTCTCTGTGTAGCCTTGGTTGTCCTGGACCCACTTTGTTGACTAGGCTGGCCTTGAACTCACAGAGATCCTCCTGTCTCGGCTTTTCTGAGTGCTGGTACTACAGGCATGCACCACTGCACCTGGCTCTGACATGACATTTGTAGAGGAAATTTTGAAGTTTTCTCAAATATGAATAATAACTTGTGGAAAGTAAAGATTATTCATATTTGTGCTCTCTTCTTTTAATGCATAGAAGGAAATCAGTTTTACTCTGATATTTAGGTCTTTTCATTATGGTCTCGTTTCGGAGTGGGTTTGCAGTTTGTGTGTATGTGTTTTACTGTATTGTTTTCCATATCCTATGTTTTTTTTTTCTCACAGAATCCAAGGATTATTTAAATATTTTTAAACTCCAGAGTGAATTTCTGTCTCTGCCAGGGTGTATGTAATTCTGAATCTATGAAAGAGTTTTAATTAAAAAAAAAATCCTTTTAACCTTCACCCCACTGACTTTGAAATGGCAGATTATTCTAACTGTACAAATGGGTTAGTTGTGGATAAATGTAATGCCTATGAAACAGATAAAGATCAATACTACCCTAGGGTGATCTCAAAACTCATCATGTAAGGATCCCATCCAAATGTTACCAAGATGCCCGATTACAACATGGCTTCTAGAAATAAAAGGCTATGCTGGGGTCAGTGTGTCCCCTCCCCCAACTCTAATGCCACTGAGCAGTAGCTCAGAGGCAGAGCTTCTTGTCCAGCATACACACAGCCCTAGTTGCATCCCCAACACTTCAAAGTAAAAATGACGACGCCTGCCTGAAGTAAACAAAACTCAAAGCTGACGGGAGAATTAAATACTTGTTTCAGATAACACCTGACTGATAGCTCCTAGATCTCTCTTCCATAGAACATTTATTTAAGAGGGTTTAAGTTGAATATATCGTTTATATAACTCATAAATGTGTCAGGGACATGAGCGAGCCCTTTGAAAGGTAACCATCCGGAAGGTCAGGGTCTCTGTGTCTCTTGTCTGGTGGGAGGCTGTAACTGTCAGTGAGCAGACACAGCCACAGGCAGACTCCCTAACCCTTCCTGGTGCTCACTTTTCTGATTCTGCTCAAGCCTTACTCATTCTCTTTAAGGTGCCCAGGCATGTCTACACGAACCAGAATGGAGCTCAGTTTTCCACCTTGCCGCCAGTGGTCTCACTGCTCTAGTGTCTGGCTGTATTTAATCACTATTTATAATGTTGATATGTTTTTATTTTTACTTTGGAGCTTTTAATTTAAGACTAGGAGGTGAAAGTGGCCTTCTCTGGGCTTAGACAAGAAAAATGATAGGTTTGTAAAGGTGGAAACTGTTATTTGAGAGCGCTCAGCTTTCTGCTTGAGAGGAAGTCAGGCTAGGAAGTAAATATTTTTCCCAAAGCTTGCCAGCAGCTTCTTTGTCATACAGTCAGATGTCTTTGATTCAGCAGAAGGCAAAGTCACTGTTTTAGCTGAAGGTCAAACTTCTTGTTACTTTCTTTGTTTCTTTTTTGTAAGGCTGAGCAGCTGTGGAACAGAAAACAGGTTTAATGGCCACGGTCTAGAGCACACAGTACTGATTTTATTTTCACCTTCATTCACTTGGTGCTGTTGTCCTGTGGAGTGTGTTGCTTTTGTTCATGTATCACCAGAGAAAATGAAACAAATTTAGGTGGAAGCAAAGGAGGCCCCAAAAGGCCCAAGGATGTGGCTCAACTGGTGGAACCCTCGGCCAACAGGCACGATGCTCTGGCCTTCACTCACTTAACTAATACCACAGAAAACTGGTTTGATGGCACCTGCCTGAGGCATAGCACTCGGGAAGGTGAGGCAGGATCAGGGGTTCAAAGCCAGCCTGGGATACATAAGACCCTGTCTCACGGAAAAAACAAAAAACAAAAAGCCACACACACAAAAACGTGGAGTTAATAGAAGTCATGTAAATCTTGGTCTGTTAAGTGTTCAGGCAAGTCACCTCTAACTCTTTATATCTCCCAGGCTGACTTTCAGCTTCCAATCTTTTTGCCTTTTCCTCCCAAGTGCTGGGATTATAGGTCTTCACCACTCCATAGCTAGCTGAAGTTGCTCTTGAGTCTGAAAAGTCCCTATTCTCTGAGGTACAGTCATTGAGACTTTAGTTTATCATCAGTTGGTCCTTGCGTCTGTAGTGCTAGGATTAACCTAAATATTATCCTATTTTCTCTCCTCCCTCCTTTGTGTGTGTGTGTGTGTGTGTGTGTGCGTGTGTGTGTGTGTGTGTGTGCGCGTGTGCGCGCACCTGTGTGCCTGTGTATGTGTGTATTTTGCATTCAAGCATGTGGGTACATGAGCCTGTGGAGGTCAGATCAGGATGTCTGGTGCCTTCAATTGCTTTGCCTTGACACAGTCTCTCATGGAACTGTAAACTTGTGGTTTGGTTTAGGCTGGCTGATAAGCATGCTCTCAGGATCTGCTGGGGTTCCAGACATATGCAGACATGCCTGGCTTTCTCCCTGGGTGCTGGGTCCTTATGCTCAAAAAGCAAGTGCTCTTACACATTGAATCAGCTTCCCAGCCCATCCCTCAATCTTTTGGGTCTTAATTCTGGTATGTAGTGTCAACAGTACAGAATGTTCAGTGTACACATTGGTGTGGATAGCTCCTGTTTGGGCTGGAAACTGAAGCAGCTTCACCTCTGGTGATACCGGTCACTGCAGTCACCCACTGCTGACTACCTTTCAGATGGAAACTGAGGCTGTGTGGGATTGGGGTCCAGTGCACCTAGGTTTGAGCCTTCTTTTGAGTCTTAGGCAAGTCCCTGGAATGAATCTGGTTCAAATTCCTGCTTGCCTATTCTTCAGAGATAATAGGGTCCTGGTTTATGACAGAAAAGCACTTTAATGCCATGCCAGTAATAGAAATATAATACATCATTGTAGATAAAGTATACAATATACCAAAACATGTAGTGAAAAAGTAAGCTTATGTTTTCCCCAAGCCTCATTCCTTGTTTCTGTGAGTCCTTTGCAGGTCAGTTCTTCACACTTGCATGAGCACATTCAATTCTTAGTTCTTATAAGACAGCATATAAATCTGCTGTAAAGGTATTTTTGTGTGTGTGTGTGTGTGTCTTTTAAGTGGTGCCAATAATGTGCTTGCTTTGTTTTTGTAGGGCACAGACCATCATGAAGGCTCGATTAAAAGGAGCACAGACTGGTAGAAACCTCCTGAAGAAAAAGTCTGATGCCTTAACTCTTCGATTTCGACAGATCCTGAAGAAGATAATAGAGGTAGGGTAAACTTTGTGTAGAGCACAGCATCTGTTTAATACACATCTAAGAAAAATCAAGTAAAGTCTTTGCTACTTAAATTTTTCTTCATCTTCCTCCCTTCCTTCCTCCCTCTCTTCATCCATCCATTCCCCTCTCCCATCCCTCTTCCTGTCCTTGTCCCTCTCCCTGTCCCCCCTCCTCTTTCTGGTGCTGGGGATTGAGCATAAGGACTCATGTATGCTAAATATACTCCTTAGCACTGAGGTAAAGATCTACTTCCTAATTTTTGTTATTTATATCAACTTTTTTCCTTTTAAAAATAATATCTCTATAATAGATGTAATAATATAGAACTGCTATGTACTGTGTACTATGCAGGCTTATGTATACTCAGATAGTTTATTATAAAACCTTACCTCAGTCATGCCTACAGAGCTGCTTGATCTCATCTGCACCATACCTTCCTCTGTACCTCACGTGGAGTGCTTCGTCCTATTATCCCTTTCCAGGGCCTTTTCATTATGCTTTCAGTGACTAAAGTGCTTTTACCTGAGTGCTTTCTAAATTAAGATAGAGCCTTACTCTGTAGGCCAGGATGGTTTTGGACTCATTGCAGTTTTTCTGCCATAGTCTCTCAGGGCTGAGATTATGGGCATAAGATATCACATCTGGCTCCCTAGGAATTCTTTTAACTGGTTTCTCTGGTAATTCTGATCTCTTCAGAGAGGGCTTTGCTGATTGCCCACTCTGAAGTGACTACTGTTTTTACTTCTGTCACATTCCATTTTATTCTTAAGCTACTGCAGACTACTGCATGATATTGTCTTGTTTGATGGCTTCACTCCTGCTAGAGGATTTAATTTCCACAGACTAAGGTTTTTGTCTTTTTAGTACTCTATTTCTAGGGGCTGGAATTGTGCCAGCACATAGTAGGTTCTGTTCAGTGTGGATTTTTTTTGGGTGGGGGAGGGAGTTGTAAACGGTAGTTGAATTATACAGAATTGTGTATAAATTATACAGAATCATTCTCAAAACTAAAGGTTCTTTTGCTAGGTCTCTTGCCTCCAGCAGTCCCATCTCTCATTTCTGAGTTTTTGACCCTTTCTAAATATGAATTTGTTTATTGTAGCTTCTGTGTATACACGTGCCACAGCACGTGTGGAGGTCAGAGGACAACTTGCAGGAGCTGGGTTTTTCCTTCTGTCTTATTGAGGCAATGTCTCTGTGTGTCTGTTGCTGACCTGTGTACTTTAGACTGGCCGGCCAGATGCTTCTTCTGGTGGTACCTGTTGTCTCACCATAGGTGTGATGGGATCTCAGGTGTGTGCCACTGACTTTTTTTCTGAGGCAGGGTCTCACTATTTAATTCTGGCTGGCCTAGAAATCTTTATGTTAGACCGGGCTGACCCTGAACTCAGAGATGTGCCTGTTTCTACTTCCTGAGCACTGGAATTAAAGATATGCATCACCTTGCTGAGCCCTTCTGTCTCTTACATGGGTTTGGGATCAAGATCTAGTAAGTCATCAGGTGCTTTTACCAACAGAGCTCTTTCTAACCCCAGTATGTAAAGCACGTACCCAGAGTGTTATGTGCATATACATGGACCTTTAAAATAACAGTAGTATTAAATTCTGTAGCGTTTTTGCCTTCTCCCCACTTGATGATACAATGCAGGCAGCTTCAGGTATCGGTATATAAATCTGTCTTATTCTTTATAATACATGCATGGTATTCTGTGGCGAATAATGGAATTAATGATGTGACTGTTGTCCAGTGTTTAGTCTTAGCAGTGCCCTGGGAGGAGGAAATGCTTAAATCCTTTTGTATATGTATGCTAACATTTTTCCTGAAAACAATTTTCTACTCCTTTTCCAGGGATATAGTCATTGACGTTTTTTAATAGGTAACTGCCAAGATTTAATACTTAACAAATGATGACTAAAGGGTTTGTTTTCTTACATCCTTCCTGAGCATTAATGATGTTGTGCAGAAGTTGTTATCGCCAGTTTGTGCTATTTTCAGCTGTATATGAGCTTGTACAGCTTTTCATGGTCACTAGTAACTTGATTCTCTTGTGAATTTCTTTTCATTTGGAAAAGTCATTATGGTTACACATTATGGTAAGTGTATAATGACTTTTTTACATATTATTTTACATAATATTTTCGGACAATGGAAATGTGTTGACTTTCTTAGATTTAAACTCAGGGACTTACATATGCTAGACAAGTGTTCTCCCACTGAACTACATCCCTTCCTTTTGAATTACAATAAATAAAACAACTAAAAATCCTTAAATTTTTGTTTTGTTAAGTACAAAGTTTAGTCCTCTGTCTCCTGTCCTCCCCATTCTTAGACAGAGTCTCACTTCCAGGCCAGCTAGAGGCCAGCCTTGACCTCAGCCCTCCTGCCTTAGTTTTCCGATGATGGGATTTGGTGTGAGCACTGTGCTGGGACTCCTTATAGATCTAGATTATACAAGGCTTAGAAAGGATTCAAGGGGCTAGGAACATACTGTTTATTGTGTTACTTTATAGCTATTGATTTCGAGAGAGTCTTTTGCCTAATTTCCCATAAATTTATGGGCTCAAACAATCCTCTACTTACTAATCCGAATAATTGTAGTTGGCTTGCAATTTTTTGTTCTAATTTTGTTTTGGTTTTCTTGCAACAGTTTTGTGTAACCTGGACTGGTCTCAAACTGCTATGTAACCATCTTCCTATCTCTGCCTTTTAAGTGCCAGGATTACAGGTGTATGCCACCACACCGTGCTCATAATGCCTTATGTTTTAAGATTTACTTTTATTATTTTAAATTAGGTTTATATGTGTGTATTTGTGTGTAGGTATGTGCTTGTGAGTGCAGGTGCCCACAGAGGCCAAAGCTCTTGCTCAAATGCTTAGAGCCTAGTAAAAAGCTAGGCATGATCTCGTGAACCTGTAACTCCAGGGAGGATGATAGGGATGGGTGCTCAGAGGATCACTGGGCCTGGCTGTTGGCCTAGCTCCAGTTTCAGTGACAGACCCTGTCTCAGGCAAGGAGCTGGAGAGTCATAGATCAGGATAACCGATGTCCTTTTACACAGTCATCACTCCCCCCCACTACACACACACACACACACACACCACTGTTGAATGTATGTATTGGTCTCTTTTTTAGGGAGGGGTCATTTGGTGGAGGAATGTTGTGAGGCAGGAATTTGTCATTTTGTGAATGGATGGACAGTTGAATGGTCTTTTTATTGTAACACAGTCTCACTTAGACATGGGCTTTTTTTCTGAATACTCTGTTCTGTTTCTTATCTATTTTAACAGATTTCAAATATCTTTTCAGCTAATTTTCTATCCTTATGACCTAGTTTTTCTTCGCTTAAAAAATATATAGTGGCTTTCCCAAGCATTGCATTTTCAGCTACACTCGAGTTGTTGTGCCAATGAGGTTTTGGACTGCAAGTGAATTTAGAAGATTAATTTGAGCAAATCAGCATGTACTTATTCAAGACTTAAGTGAGCCTCACTACTTTTAGTCCTCTGTCAGTGAATCTATTTTAATTCTAAAGCTCACGGTTTTAAAACATCAGGACAATAACCAAAACTGTTCAAAATTAGACTTTCTCTTTATCAAATAAGTTTTTGATGCTGATACTTTATATTTAACATAAAATACTGATGATTATTAAAGGAACTAATTACAGTATGATTTTTCTGTAAGATATTTATTGATCCTGTTGTTGGCTTATGCTTTCTCAGACTAAAATGCTGATGGGTGAAGTGATGAGAGAAGCTGCCTTTTCATTGGCTGAGGCCAAATTCACAGCAGGGGATTTCAGGTAAGATGACTAACCAGGGTGTTTGGGGGAAAAAAAAACAACCTGGTGTTTTCAAGTTCATAATTTTATAACATTTTAATTAAAAATGTGTTAACATTAAAGACAAAGGATATAGCAGTAAGAATACTTTTAACATCATAACCTTAACCCCACAGAATATTTGGTAGTTTGCAGCCCATTTTCATTTAATGATGTTTCTTAAACAATTTGCCCTTTTTTTCATGGGCTTGTACTCTTATAATCATATTTATAACTTCTAATTCTACATATTATGTTTATTTATAATTTATTACCCTTTTCTCCTAGTGCTGGATCTTTGAGTTGAATGCTAGGATTTTTGAAATCTGAGGGGATGATTGTGGACAGTTTCATGTACACTTATTTTTGTTTCTATGATACATTTTTTTGAGAATGGAAGCCATTATTCAAAATTGAGATCTTTACGGCTTTTATCACATTTAACTTGCCAAAGCAGGCATACTGGTTTGTAAATGGATTATGCCAGTTTCTTCCCTCATGAGTCTCTTAGGAGTCCTGTGAGGCAGATAAGCAGTTATCCCATTTGAAGTGAAAGTGTTCCTGAGAGGTCACGGCTACCTAGGGACAGAGGTGGAGTTGTTTTCTGGACTCTTTAGTTTTCTTGTGCAATGATATGGGCCCTCCCTGCTGTAGGAATTTTTCCTGCCATGAAAGCTTTACACCTGCGGGCTGTGAGGCCAGTTGAGTGGCATGTCTCACTGTCTGCCAGTGCTAGTAGGATAGTATAATCAGTTCTTTCTTTTCCAGCAGAAGGAGAACATTAGTAGTGGATGTTACATGGTTAAGGGGACACACTCTTTTTTTTTTTTTTAGTAACAAATGGTGATTTGGATAACATTAGAAGAAAGATAGGATAAAGACTGTGAATAGCAGCTTAACCAACTGAACAGCAAACCTTGAAGGAAAGAAAGTTTTCTACTAGGAATATACCCCTAAAATAACATATGCACTCACTGAAACCACAAGCCATTCATATACTTTAACCTTGGTTGTCCTATGGCTAGTGACTTATAATAACAAACTTAAAATGTTTGTTCTGGGCTCTGTGAGGGCTTCCACTGGCTCTGTTAAGTTGTTTTTTTTTTTTTTTTTTTTTTCTTTCTTTTATTTTTTTATTAGTTACATTTTATTAACTCTGTATCCAGCTGTATCCTACTCCCTCATTCCCTCCCAAACCCTCCCTCTCTCCTTCATCTCCTCCCTGCCCCTTTCCAAGTCCACTGATTGGGGAGGACCTCCTCCCCTTTCATCTGACCCTGTTTTCTGTTAAGTTTTTATTTCATTTTTAAAAATTATTTATAGTTTATTCACTTTGTATCCTGGTTGTGGCCCCCTCCCTTATCTCCTCACCCCAGTCCCGTCCTCCCTCCCTCTTCCTTCCCCTATCCCTCTCCCCTAGTCCACTAATAGGGGAAGTCCTCTTCCCCTACTGTCTGACCCTAGCCTATCAGGTTCCATCAAGACTGCCAGGATCCTCTTCCTCTGTGGGCGGGCTAGGTCACTCCACCAGGGAGACATGATCAAGGAGCAGACAAGTTCATGTCAGAGACTGTCTCTTCTCCCCTTACTAGGGAACACACATGGAGACGGAGCTGTCTATGGGTTATATCTGAGCAGGGGTTCTAGGTCCTCTCTATGTATGGTCTTTGGTTGATGCATCAGTCTCTGCAGTCCCCCTTGGGCCCAGCTTTTTTGGCTTTGTTGGTCTCCTTTTGGGGCTCCTGTCCCCTTTATTCCAGTTTTCTTTTCTGAAATAAAGATTATTACTGATACATAATATGACTACTTATACTCCTGGTTTCAGCGCTGAAACTATCCAGTGGGTCCCTGTAGATTTATTTCTGCAAACTAGACTAAATAAAGCTGCTGCTTTTTTATTTTATTTTTTTCAGCACCACAGTTATCCAAAATGTAAACAAAGCCCAAGTGAAGATCAGAGCAAAGAAAGACAATGTAGCAGGTAACCAACCACCCTGAGGTCCTTGGAGGGTAAAGGTGGCATTTACAGCTAATCAGTTGCATGGCAACATCCTAATATCCCAGTTTCTCTGAAATTAGAACAACCTGATGGCAGTTTAAGACCTAAGCTACCAGGCTGCCTAATGCTTGGGATACTTGACTTTTGAATAGAAGCAAACTCTTTGAGAAGACAAAATCTTAAATATATAACTTGAAACCATTTACAGTTCTAAGCTTAATCTCTTGGTTTGTTAGTATTTGATTTAGTATTTTTAGTATTTGATACTTGATATAACAAGCAGCATCCCAGAGGCTGAGTGATCTCTTAAGTTCCAGGCCAGCCTGGCATACACAGTGAAACCTTGTTTTTAAAAAGACAAATAGCCTATCTGGGCTACATAGAGGACCCAGAGCCTATGAAAGAAAAGAAAAAGTCCTTCCGGCCCAGTTTGTGACTCCATATATGTATCTTCATTGTCTTCACTTAACAGGTGTTACCTTACCAGTGTTTGAACATTACCACGAAGGAACTGACAGTAAGTGAGATATCTTAGGATATATAATTGTAACTGAGAAATATAGTTTAGTAGTCATTTGCTGTTTAAAAATGGGAGGCTTTGCCTTTTATTACCAGTTCACTACCTGGACTTCTGTGCTGTGCTTTTGCTTAAACTGTTCTCACCATGGACTATTTACAATTTTTGGTTTGTGTCTTTTAGAAGTAAGATAAGATCTTATAATCTGTGACACATTCTGAATGCTGGGTCTTTCTAGATACTTTTAGCTCTCTCCAAGCTTTTTGGAATTGTTCCTTTCCTAATTTGGCAGCATTTGAGGGAATAAGTAACATTTGTTTACACTTCCCAAGATGAAGTAATTAATTTTTCCCATATAAAAATATTCTTTCTTTTGACACTTCTCATTGGTTCATGAACTTGCTCATTGAATTGTGTAGAATGTTAATTGTGGCATTGGCCACTATTAGTTAATTCAACAAGCTTGTGAAGTGGTTTCTCTTCTGGGGTTGGTGCTGCAGGTCTGTGGTAGAGGCTTGTCTAGCATGTGTTTAGTTCTGGATTCCATGCCCAGCACACACACACACACACACACACACACACACACACACACACACACTTCTCTCCTTACAGTCACTCGGTAGCCATGTAAAAATATAATTCTTACAAAAAACAGCCATTACCATTTCAGTCACAGAAGCTGGCTTCTTGATCTTTCCTCAGAAGAGGTCATGATCCTTAGCTGAGATTCTAGCCATTCCCTCAAGCGTTCTTGTTCTAGCTGCACATAGTCTCTAGGGGTGCTAGAGTATATAGAGCATAGAAGACTAACTTGCAGTGGTGACCTAACTATGCAGCTATGAGGAAGTTAACCATGCTAGGGTCAGTCTTTCCTTTGAGGCAGCTTTTGGTGTCACCATATATCTATAAGTAATTCATGCCTTTATAATATAAGCCCAATAAAGTCATTGGCTCGCCAAGCCAGTCTTCGGTGGAATTGTTACTTTGGTCTGTCACTGGTCCCCTGCTGGGTGAGTAAGACTTCTGTTCATGTGAGCCAGGAAAGGGCATTTTGTGTTTTGCATGTGTGTGTAACAGGAGTTAGTGAATCTGCCTTTCCATGTTTGTTGCACTTCTGATTATCGTTTGGGAATTCATGGAAGATTATTCTCTAATTAAAAAATGTTGTCTGACTGGCTCTTTCAGGTTATGAACTGACTGGTTTAGCCAGAGGTGGGGAGCAGCTGGCTAAACTAAAGAGGAATTATGCCAAAGCAGTGGAACTACTGGTGGAGCTAGCTTCCCTGCAGGTGTGTCGCAGCAGAGAATGTGCCTGTGTGGCTTCTGATAGTCACGTGGAACACTCACTCAACTCAGATGACCCTGTGTGAAACAATCCTGATGTCTGACTTCTGGAGTGGTGGCTTCTGCATGTTTCTCTTTGCTTCTTGTTAATAAAAATGCATGCGTGGTGGTTCAGCTCCACTCTGCTAGATGAGAGCAGCAATGGTCGGTACTAGACATAATGCAAATATAACGTGATTCATCTAGAATACACATCTAGATTATGAGTGAATGCTTCTCCATGGAAATAGTGCTAGTTCTATAGAAATCTTGTGAATTTTCACTTTGTAAGGCAGGCTGAACAAAAGTTGTTTTTTGTATTCCCAAATGTTTCTATAATCTGAGTGAAGCCAAGTGAACAAGCATAGTGATCATGGAGACATGTTCTTATTAATGTGTCCTTTCATTTTAGACTTCCTTTGTTACTCTGGATGAAGCCATTAAGATAACCAACAGGCGTGTAAATGCCATTGAACATGGTGAGTCAGTGATGCTGGGAGGTGCTTTGTTCATTTCTTTGCCCCTCCCTGCTAGCTTGTTAGGCAGCCGTGGGACGATAAGACCCGGGTCTGCTGCAGTGAAGAGAGAAATGTGTCCAGCAGTGCAACAACACATGGTGTGTCCTGAGGTAGTCCAGGTTACCAGACGCTGCACACCCTGCTCACTCATGCAGTCACTAGAGCAGGAACTGCGAGAGCCTTAGGCTCTGTCCACTGTTGAGCGATATTTCTTTTTTTAAAAAAATACATTAAACATTTATCTTTAAATCTCTCCTTTAGGCTATTGTCCCATTTTGCTACATTTATTTTCTATCTTTTATTCCATTATCTTAAAAATACAATCATATTAATAGTGTTGTTGGCTGAAGAACTCAGTTTCCATGAAAGAAATGCTCACTCAACCTTAGGTAAGAAAGGAGCAAAGACTGAAGCAAAGAGCTTCCTTCAGCTGGTGCCTTGATAGTATTATCTCATCTAAAGCCTTTATGGACCCATTACTTGGTAGTATGCAAGCACAGGCGGGGCAGGCGTTGTATCACTGAGATATACCCTTATCCCAGAAACACATTTTGTGTCTGTTGTTTAGTGTCAGGCTTTATTTCATTGAACTTCCATCAAAACAAAATGGGTAAGGTTAATAATTCTCAATTTCTGGGACTTCCCATTCCAGAATAGGAACGCTGTGAGTAAAGCAGAACTGAATGGCACACATAACGGTTACAGCATTTGCCATGGTTCTAGTGTATTTTAAGGAAACATCTGTGGCTTACTGTTACCTGTTCGAGTATACTTAGAATTCAGTGTTGGATCCCGTTTGGCCCAATATGGTATCTATACATAGAAAGGATACCGGAAGGGTACATACCAAAATATTTACAAGATAATTTTGGCTGGGTCTCATTTTAGGGATTTTGTGTGTGTGTGTGTGTGTTTTCCAAGTTCTCTGCATTAAGTGTACATCAGTTCTATAGTAAGAAAATAATAAGCACTATTTAGGTAAACACTGGTAATCTTCTGAAGGGGCATTTAAGTTCTCACATCTGTGTGTTTAAACTCCAGTCATCATTCCCCGGATTGAACGCACCCTTGCCTATATCATCACAGAGCTGGACGAGAGAGAGCGAGAAGAATTCTATAGGTTTGTGGAAATTGGCACTTACTTTTTTTCCCCCCATATGCTACAGTTTCGGTTTGCTCAGTGACTAACATGTTCTTTTGAATAAGCACAGTTGGTATTTTATTCTGTTAAATTAAAAGCAAGAAAAAACATTGAGAGTGTGTGTTACTTCCTTATAATCACAGAACTCAGAAGGCAAGACTATAAGCCTAAGGCTATCCTGGGCTATATTAGAATATATACTCTGAGACAGGAAAACTGAAAGAAGGAATTCTAGAAGTAGTCTGCATTGCAAATTACCATGCTTAACTGCAGTCTGAAAATGCTAAATGGAAAATTACAGACCTGATACGTAGGTTTTCAGTTGTATGCTCTTCTCTGTAGCATGAGACATCGAAGTCCTGTGCTATCTATTGGTGAAGCATCCTGTGTCTAATATACCCGCCCTGTACACAACCTGCTGTCAGTCATTTGGTATCCGTCTCTTACCAGAGCAGCTGTTGGCTGTCAGGTTACAGTGGTGCTGTATGTTTCCTTTAAGGAAAGAGGTGAAAGTTTTTGACTTAAGAAAATACTGTTAATCCCTCACTGTACTTTTCAAAATAAACTTTATCAATTTTTAGCCACATTTGCCTTAGTGCACAGATAGAAAGTTAGCTCCAAGGCTGACCATGCATGAAAAAGTATACTATGCAAACATGGTTTCATAGCTGCAGGTCTTGGGATATAACCCCTGCAGTGAGTGGGACTGCTGTATTTCCAAAGGTGGTGGAGAACCAGTGTCATGTTCTGCACATAGATCAAACATGGCATCTCCAAAAATTTATGCCTTTTAGAAAAATACTCTTTAAAACAAAAGAGTGATTGGGTTGGATATCTCTTACATAAAACCTGAGAAAAGAAACTGGAATCGAGCAGCCATTCAGCAAGCAGTATTGCACATTGAATATGTACAGGTAATAGAAAAAGTACTTGGGAGTCCCAACTAATGAATCACAGTGCTAGAGAATTGGCACAGTAAGTGGTGAGAAGTAATGATGCCCACTGGTTGTTTATGAAGATTTAGAGCAGTATGGGTAAATATTAAACAAAAGGGTTCTAAGTTTGCAGAAGTGAGGGGTGGGTAAAAGGAGTGTTTAGGGAAGAATGCTGGTCTTAGCTCTTGAAGAATCTCAGTGACATAGAATAGTAGTTATCATTCATGTTTGGGGTTGTAGTGATTCAAAAAAGTTAAAAACAGAATGCTTAAAATCTGTTTCATCACATAATGGATTTCAAGTTTTATTTAATGTAGGGTAGGGTGTCTGCAATCAGATATTAATAGATGTTTTCCCTCAAACATTTTGAGATGAGTTTTAAATTATGGAACATGAAAGTCAGATTCTAGTTTTTCCCATGTTTATTTTTCTAGTTACAGAACCTGAATATATTTAAGTTTCTTTGCATTGAAACAGCATTCAGAAAGTCCCCTTCTTGCAGGTTAAAGAAAATACAGGAGAAGAAAAAGATTATCAAGGAAAAATTTGAGAAGGACTTGGAGCGGCGGAGAGCAGCTGGAGAGGTGACAGAGCCTGCCAACCTGCTGGCTGAAGAGAAGGACGAGGACCTGCTGTTTGAGTAGCTGCCCTCTTCTGCTCCCTTCAGACCCAGCACCAGCTCCATTGTAACTCAGTGTGTAGGTTCGGTATGTGTGGATATTTATTTGGCATAAGAATTTCCCCGGCTGTAAGAGTTATCAGGATGCCCCCATGAGACTATTTTTCCTGCATAATAACTCAGCAACCACTTAATCACAGTTGAATGAGATTTGTAAAACCTGCCCAGCAACTCAAAGAATTTCTTCTGTGAAAGTGTCTTATGATTCTATTTATAGTAGTTTGACTAAAAACTTTAGGAAGTACTTATTAAAAACATTCATGGTCTCAGCCAGTTGCTGTGACAGCCTTCATTCCTACCCACTTGCAACCTTGCCACTGTTGTGTGAGACCACAAAGCCATTGTTGTGTTACTGTGGACTCCTCAGCTCTACACTTATTTTTCTTTGCACGACAAGTCTGTGTAACAGGCAGTTCTCCCCATTTAAATGTGACTTGTGAACATAGTAAAATGATTTAAAAAACATGTTGTTTCTTTTTCTTTTTGAGAATCAGCTAGTAGTGATGATGTCCTTATGCTCAGGTCAGTGACCTTATTGCCACCCAGAGTTCAGCAGACATGTCAATAGGAGCCGTTTTCCTCTTCTCCAACTCAAGTGGGTTACCAGGTTTCCTTTGAGACAGTTACTGCACTTTGGGCTGCCAGTACTGCATAGGCTTCTCCACACTTCCTCCTCCTCGAGAATGATACTTTTTCATTTCTACTTTGGAGTAATCGGGTAACTTTGCTGTCATAGAATAGGAGTTTGCTGTCTTTTAGTAAGATGAGATGCGTAAGTGGACAGACCAAGTGGTGTCTGAGGTGTCAGTGCTGTTTGAGTTGGCATGATGATCTGTGATTACTCAGACTTTAATGCAACCAGTTCCACGCTTTCTGGGCCTGACTGGGCGTAACATAGTTCTTAGTTAGGAGGGCGACACTAGCATTCATGTAGTTTGACCAACTGTTACCACAGTAAAGACACTAAATGATTTCGTGAACATTTGCTTGGGCTGTTTGCCAGGTACTTACTGATTAGTGTTTGTTTTCAAAGTAATAGTATAAGCTTTTTTTTTTTTAAAGTGGTGCTAGGGAGTGGACCCAGGGATTTACTTTAAGTCACATCCCCAGTCTAAACTATGTAATTTAGCTCATTCCGTGGAGTAAAAAGTTGAGACACAGGGAAGCTTGAGTAATTGCTTTTAAATTAAAAAGCTGCAAAGTGGTGATGGTGAGTCCAGAATTTTAACTCCAAGTAGTCAAACTTGAGTATAAAAAAAAAATTGTTGTGTGTGTGTATATAGATAGGTAGATAGAGGTGGAGGAGTGTCTGAGCAAAGGGTCATGTTGAGTCATGTTTTTCCTTTCATCAAGTGGGTCCTAGCACAGAACTCAAGTTGTAGGACTTGGGGGCAAACAGCTACATCTATGAGCAGCCTCACTGACCGTAAAGGTTTACACTCGCTTGGTTTGTTGTTAGCATGTACATGTTAGCATGTGCAGGCCAGAGGACAACCTTTGTTTTCTGAAACAGTCTCACTGGCTTGGAGCTTACCAAATAGGCCAGACAGGCAGGCTGTCAAGCTGCAGGGATGTCTCCGGCTCTTTGGTGCGGGAATTCTAAGCATGCTCTACCATGCTGTTTTTTTGTACATGGGTTCTGGGCCGGGTATTGAATCCAGACACTCTTGGCAAACCCTTCAGTAATCTCCCCAGCCCATATCCTTTTTATCCTGCCTGTCTTTTCTAGGTATTTAAAAGAAGGATAGAGATCCTGTCTCAGAGCACCTGATTTGTAGAAAAACAGATGTGATCCATTGGAGAAAATGTTCATCACTTAACTTCCCAGTACCTTGGTGAGGTGTAAATTGTACCATTTCAGTTCTGCATTTGGAGAATTTGAGCAGCTTATGTAGGTCAGATAGCATAGGTGGAAGGAATCCAAGTCAAGTGAATCTTGATTTCAGAGGCATAATCCTTAAGCACTACACACTGCATTTAGTTTGAAGATGGGGGTAGAGAGCCACATTTAGGCTTTAAAAAAATGTATTATTTATTATGGAAATTCACTTATTTAAAAGCATTGGACCAAAGGCATGTAGATTTCTCATGCAGTCTCAGTAAGGCTCTGCTACTTTTGGGTCTTATTTAAGGGGTCTTATTTAAACTGTCCACAGATTTACAGATGGTTTCCTATTGAGATAGGGTTGTCTTATGTTCCAGGGTGGTCTGGAGCTCAGCATCCTCCTGCTTCAGCCTTCTGAGTGCTGGGATTGCAGGCACACATCATCATGTTCAGCTAAAACTTTAGATGACTTTATGGCTTCACATTAAAAAGTCAAGATTAAATAGTGGGTAAATATTGGGTTTAGCTGGGAGTGAGCTGATCCAAAGGTGATAGATGAGACCAGGGATAGAAAGCAAGCTCGCGTAAGTTAGGTTGCAGATCTATAGTTAAAACTTTATGATGTGACAAACAGTGGGAGAAGTGAAATGAGGGCCAACAACTCATTCTGCTGCCCTAAGGAGAATTCGCCTTTTATATACCTCTCTCCTCTGAAAAGTTCTGTGCTCACAGCTTTGAGTTGGTTTTTTTCAATACTTTTAGTTTAAAGCCCAGGGGTGGTGGTGCACACCTTTGATCCTAGTGCTTGGGAGGCAGAGGCAGGTGGATCTCTGTGAGCTTGAGGCCAGCCTGGTCTACAGAGTGATTCCAGCAGAGTCAGGACTTATGTAGAAACCTGTCTCAGCACACAAACACCAAAAACAAAAAATAAAAAAACCCCAACCCAAAAGTGCCAATAAAGGACATCCCATGGCAATTACACTGTAATTTGATTTTCACTCAGAGATCCCGATATTGCTTCTGACAAACCCTTGAAGGGGAGTAGTCTGTATGTGTACACACCTTGGATATAACCATAACAAAAGGAAGCATCCAGTGGCTTTTACAATATGAAATATAGCTTTACTTTTTATTTTTACAATACATTGTGCAGTATGACATCTCAAAATAACGAGTGCTGAAATAAGACAGTACAAAGGGAGAGCAACAACAATGTCAGTGACTACCTTCATTAATCCCTGGTTTATACTTTCCACACATTCACAAAAATTACATTCAAATCATTCCTTATCAATATTTACTCCTGGGCCATGAAGGGAAGGAAAATAATCCATACACTAGATTTTCATAAAAAGCTAATCTGGACCAGTTGAATACTAACATCCTATTAGTTCTGATGTATGAACACTAAGAAATGAAGGTACTTCCTTGTTTGGATTTATTAGCTGGTACCATATGCTTTGTTTTAAGACAGGGTATGATGTAGCTGACAGTAACCTTGAGCTGCTGAGCCTTCTGCTTCCACTTTCCAAGTGCTGAGCCATGAGCCCTGATGCTGCTTTTCTGCACTGCTGGGGATCTAGCCAGGGCTTTGTGCATGCTCGGCAACTACCAACTCTACCAACTGAGCTATGTTCCCAGCCAACTACAGTATCATTTCTCTAACTGGCGAGGATTTCCCTGGCCCTGCAGTTCCAATCAGAAGCACAGAGGGATAGGAGATTGAATAGGCCCTAATGACTGTACAATTACATGTATAACAAGGCTTTTTTTTTTTTAAGTTAGCATAGTTTAACTGTGTTTAGGGACTCTGTTGAGCATTAGTACGTTCAGAACCACTAGGATTTACAAAAGTTCAGGATATATATTCTATTACTACTTACAAGCAAAGATCTTACTGACCTTGAGAATCTCAGTCTAGAAATATGTGTGGTGGCATGGCCTGTGCCTAAGTACAGGGTCTGCCTGTGAAAACCATGTGTGTGAGTCTTGGTAGCCCTACTGTCACCAGTGGCATTGACTGGTGAGTTCTTAAAACCTCACTCAAATCCAATATTCATCCATCCATCTCAGGTAACTCAAGCCAGTCTTCAACTCTAGATCTTCCTGCTAGGGTTACTACTAGGGTTATAGGTGTGTACCAGTCTCAGCAGTCAGTATGCAGACTGCAGAGCTCTACTGACCATAGACTAACTTTCATTCCTGAGGAGAAAAAAAAACACTGAAAAACTGAAAAGATTTCCCTCTTTTAAGTGTCCTTCAATGTTGACAAGGGTGTGGACCTTGCATTTTTTTCCCTGCTGTAAACTGGGAGTGTTCAGACTTGACGCTGTTACAGCATTCCTTTCCTCAAGAATGTTCCTTTATTCCTAAGGAAAATTATTCTGAAAATATTTCTAATAGACACACCTGCCAGCCAACTACAAAAGCCATGCATTGAACATAAAGACATCACAAACTCTGTATTTGTTCCAATGAGATTATCTAGAAGCGAAATCAGACATAAACAGCACTGACAAGACATTAACAACTGCTGTGCTAAGTGTCAAGTCAGTATCATTCCAGTGTTTAGCTTTGGGAACATGAAATGCTGTAGCTACATTAAAGCAAGACATTCACATTTGAGGTTGGTTGTCACGTGACATTTTCCTTAAAGGCTTGAGAAGAGTACAAGTTAACTTTCCATGCGGATATGTAGACACTGATTTTTAAAGCTAAAGCTATAGAGACAGTACAAAAATCCTGTTAGTGTCAACATTTAAGATTTAGCAAGCTGTTGAATTCCGGTCACAAGGAAGACCTTGTTAGGACAAAAACATGCTTAATAGTACTCTCCTCCGATGTCCTTTTCTAAAATGCTCAATGACTTAGGTCTTCCTTCTCATCTCAAAGTCAGTTTTCATGGTATTTCCTCAGTGTGCAGGTATGTATAAAATTTTATTCCAAGGCTGAACACAACTATTTATTAACCTATTTAATTATTAGTATACAGTACAGCAGATTTCCAGTTTGATACCTACCTACATACACAGCACAGTCATAGGCATAATTCTGTGCTCAGATATAAAAATGCAGAAACTGTCAAATGTGTTATGTCCTTCCACTGATATAAAAACTATTTGCATCACAAGGAAAATATTTTAATGGTCAACATGGTTTATATGAACACTTGTATCACAGCAAAGAATCAAGGCCATCAAATCACAATTTAGTAAAATAATTCAGAAAATTCTATCTTTAAAAATGTCAGCTTCTTTTATATATTTATAGCTACACTACTTGCTACTGAGTGCATTCTCATCCACAAAGTCTAAGCAAATAAAGCTGGTTCTATTTCTTTTTTGATTTTTGAAACAGGGTTTCACTGTGTAGACCTGGCTGTCCTGGAACTTGCTCTGTGGACCAGACTGGCCTTGAACTCAGAGACCTGCCTGCCTCTGCCTCCCTAGTGCTGGGATTAAAGGCATGCACTGCCATGCCCAGCAAAGCCGGAATTTTTGATGGAATGTTTTTCAGAATGAAAAGACAACAAATTTAAACTTAAAAAGTCACTCCAAAGTGGCACCTTTTTTTTCTTTTCCTCTTTAATAGAAGTATTTCTGATAACTAACTAGTTTGTTTAGGAAAATACTGTTATTCCCACTGCACAGAAGCACAGCCCTTTCTCCCAATAATCCCATGACGTCATTTAAGTTAAGTGTTAAATAATGTTAATATTTATAACTATGTGAGACAATGGATTTATGTATATACATACTTGTTTTTTCATAGGCATCTGAACAAGAGGAAAAGGTGAAAACAAAAGGTTTTATCGGGATGAATCAGAAATGCTCTGAAGAAAGTTTCCATTTTAAATCTCCAAACAAGCCAAAGGCCCCTAAAGCCATGCACAGGAAGAAGGATTATTGTGTACAAACTGCCTAAGGGACCTTTCTCACTAGTTCAAGAGATCTATTAACAGGTCAGCAGCTTATTTTACTGCCTTCTACCTTATTCTCAGCATTGAGGCCATCTTCCTGTTGATGGTTTGCCAAATAAAGTCCAACATGATGACACAGAATAAAACAGGCATTTCTTTCACCTTAGCCAAGTAGATGGCACCCACTGAGGTTCAGTATCCAGTTTGTTAATGAGCCTAAGCAATTCCTGGCAGGCTTTATCAAGATCTGAATTCACAATTGCAGTGTCAAAGTAGTGGCCATTGTTCTGTTCCATTTCTCTAGTCTTCTCAATGATCTCCCTTAACTCTTCAGGCTGCAGAGAAAAAATAAAGACTGTGAGGTCACACAGGATACAGAATGCGTCCGGAGGGTTACTACATGGCTTTCCTCTGTGGTAGACTCTATTGCTCCTTCCTAACCCTTCTCTTGGGACATCTTAGCATCAGCATCTCTAGAAATCCTGTTTGAATACTGGTTTATAGCACCTTTTGTTTTCATGTATTAACATTTTATCTCTATGCTTGAAGAACATGGGTGATTACTTAGACTTCCCTGAAAACTTTTCCATTTTTTAGAGCCTCAGAATCTATCTAACATAGGGCTGTAACATAGGGCTGGAGAGATGGCTCAGCACTTGAGAACACTACTTGTTTTTGCAGATGACCCAGGTTTGTTCTCAACACCCACATAGTAGTTCCCAACCACTGGTAATTTTTGTTCCAAGGGATCTGAGAGTCCTTTTTGACCTCCTGGTGGTGCAGACATATGTGTATGGTGAAACAACCATACACATAAAAACGAATAAATCTTAAAAAATAAAAGTAATGTCTTATGTAAGGAGTCCAACTTTCTGATTAGAATAAGTGCCTCAAAAATATTCTTTACAAGAACATTTGCTTCTGCTGGCCCTGGTGGTGCATACCCTTCATTTCAGCACTCAGGATGCAGAAGCAGGTGGATCTCTATGAGTTTGAGGATAGCTCAGTTCACATAGTTCCAGGCTATTCAGGGCTACACAGTGAGACCATGTTTCAAAAACAACAGAATTGCCTTCTGTGTGCTGAAAATTTAGGCAGAATTAAAATTACAGGAAAAGAAAAGGGTTAACACATTGGTTTATCTTTTCTAAGGAAATCTAGTATCAGTCCAAGATTTAGTAACATACTGGGGGATTTATTCACGTTAGTACATTGTAAAACTGTTTTCAATGTACAAAGTTCCTTCCCCGTCCCTGGATCTGTCTATGTATCCAGGCTGGTCTAGAATTCTTGGCTTTCCTACTTCTAGTGCTGGGATTACAAGTATATACCGCCACACTGGGCTCTACTAAGGACAGTTTGATTTATTTTTTAAATTTTCTTCTTTTTCTCTCTCCCTCAAGCAGTGTTTCTCTATGTGGCACTGGCTGTCCTAGAACTCTCTATGTAAACAAGGCTGATATCACTCGGCGATCTGCCTATCTTTATCTCCTGAGGTGTGCACTGTCAAGCTTGGCCCTACAAAGGCAGTATAAGATGCAAAAGAGTATCTCACTACAGCCTGAGAAATAATATAGTCGAGGCTACTTTAAAATATGGAGTAAAGGAAATGATGCTTAGTGGAGAAAAGCCAGTGGCAAGGCTATGTGCAAAAATTACCCAGAACCTTACAGTCATCAGGCCCACAGCCAAGAAATGGAAACTACACCAAATCACCCTTGCCAATCAAGATGGCTAATTAAACTTCAGACCAAATACCTCAAAATTAAAGTCACACATCACTATGTTGATACCACAAAATGACTTCCACTCAGCTTTAACAGGAAAGTATAGTAAAAGCCTGATGACTCTAGCTTCTCCTGGGGCAGTTTCTTCCACAGCTACCTAACCTTCATTTTGAAGTGCTGTGATTGATGCAGAAGATCTTTTGTTCACAGCAGACCCCTTATCCTTATATCAGCACTATGACAGTTTTGCTGAAACCTGTCTACCCAAAGGTGGAGATTAGTTGTTAGTCATTTTTTGTTTTGTTTATTATTTTTTTTTCAAGACAGGTTTTCTCTGTGTAGCCTTGCCTGTACTGGCCTCACTTTGCGACCAGGTTGGTCTTGAAATCACAAAGACCTCCCTGCCTCCGCTTCCAGCCACCACACTTGGCTAGATGTTATCAAATTTAAAACTTTATCTCATCTGTGACAAATGGCTTATATCATTCAGTTAATACCTTATATCTATGTGAATCTCGCCTTCAAATTATAATCCATGACTCAGCTAAAATGTTTTACCTAAAAATTTCATGAACTGAAAAATTAACTTCTTGCAAAAAACTGATGTCCATCATTTTTCACAGTCTATTCTCAAGTCACTTTCCCAAAATCCAAGACAAATTCCAAAATTGAGAGTAAGAAGTTCACTGATGGTTTACACTTTACACCGAGTAAATAACACATTTAGTAAGGTTTGTGTTTACCCACTAGTTATATGTGATAAAAAGTACTGTAAGAAATAACACTACACATACAAATATAAGTGGAATAAAAAGGCAACTGTATATACCACCCTCTAGCCAGCAGGTGCAGAGCACACACTTTTACAGCTGTGCATGGACATTCAGAGTGCATGATAGGCCATAAAATAAAATTCAACACACTTCAAAATATTGACATTTCTTGAGACATATTTTCTGATAACTGTAAATCAGTGAATTCTTTAAAATCACCAAATAAGTGAAACTTAACATATTTCTAAAGATAAAAATTACAACAAAAAGAAAATATTCTAACAAAATAATGAAAAATTTACATCAAAAGTTATGGGTGCAGATAACAAATTGCATACAGGGAAATTTATTATGACAAATGGCTACATTTGAAAAGAGGAAAGGCTTAAAAATTATGGAAGGTTTCATTTTCAGAAGTTAGAGCATGTGTGAATTAAAGTCAAAATGAAGGAGAAGTGATTTCAATAGGAAAGATAAAGACAGATGCTCTCTATGGTTCTCTAAAGGGTTTTGGTAATTCTGTTCAAGCTTGGTATCAGCTTCTAAACAATTACTCAATTTCTACAGAAAAGCCTGATGAGATTTCCCCCTACCTTGGGAAAAAGTTAATAGTTTTCTTGTGATATAGTTTATATACCATACAATTTTTCTAATTTAAAAGTTTTTAGTATGGTTTTAGAGTTCTGCAATTAATACCATAATCAATTTCATAAGAGTTTTCACCTGCACCAGTGGTATCTTGCATGACAATGGCCCCACAGGCTCATATTTTTGAATGCTTGGTCCCCAGTTGGAAGAACTAATTTCGGAAGGATTAAGAGGTGTGGCCTTGTTGGAGGAGGTGTGCCACTGGGACTGTGCTTTGAGGTTTCAGAAGCCCACACCAGTCCTTGTCTCTGTGTGCCTCTAATGGAAGCTTTCAGTTACTGTTCCAGTACCACGCCTGTCTGCCATGCTCCCCACCATGATGGTCATGGACTCAACCTCTGACACTGCAATCAAGCTCCCAAATAAATGTATTAAGTTGTCTTGGTCATGGTATCTTTTCATAACAATAGAACAGTGATTGAAGATACCACCTTAAAATATTTATAAGCTAGTAGCCATTACTAATTTATGTCATAAATCCGTAGACTTATCTGTTCTGGACATCCCATATATATGGAATCATATATAACTTGTGGTCTATTGAGTCTGAGTTTTTTTTTTTTTTTTTTTTTTCATTTAACACAATGTTTTTAAATTTTCCCCTTGTTGTATTTTGCATTGGTACTTCATTCTTTATTGTCTGTTTTTCAAGATGTAATAATTAAGTTATAGGAATCAAAACAGTATGGAATCAGTATAAGTACAGATTAGAATCCAGAAATAAAAGTGCTAACACAGTGACTCAGCAGGTAAATGAGCTTACCTACCCAGAACCCATTTAAAGGCAGGAAAGAGAATCAACTCCACAAGGTTGTCCTCTGACCTCAACATGTGTTGTGGCACATGTATAGTCATGCATCCCACATACATACAAACTGTATGTACTGTGCCAAAGAACACAGAAAAGACAAACTTCTCAATAAAGACTGCTGAAACAATTTGATATCTACATTACTTCAAAACAAAAATAAAACTACCCTGTCACACCACACTAAGACCATGATTAATTTAACTAAAACACACAAGCTAAGACTAGAAATACTTAAGAAGAAAACGCAGGATAGGATCTTTATAAAGTTTTTAGACATGCATACAAATCATGAACCATAAGAAGATGAAAAACTGAACTATATGAAACACTTCTGGCAGCTGGCTACCCTCCCAGTACTTGGGAGGTGGAGGAAGGCAGAAGTACTGACAGTTTCATATCATCCTGAGCTACAGAGCAAGATCCTGTCTTAAATCCAAACCCAAACAAACCAAATAAAAACTTATTTTTCACCATCAAAAGAAGTAGTAAGGGAGAGAGAGCTGGTAGTGTGTGCCTTTAACCCCAACACTCATGAGGCATAAATAGGTGGGTCTCTATATTAGAGTTCAAGGCCACCCTGATCTACATAGTAAGTTTCAGGCTACTGAAACTCATCTCAAAAACAAAGAAAGAACCAGAATAAATAAAAAAAAAAAAAGAACAGAGATCTGGAGAAAGTAACAGCAATAAATACATGTGCAAAGGGGCTACCAGTATAGCTCAGTGGGTAGAAGAGCTTGCCATGCAAGCCTAGTGATCTAAGTTCAATCCCTGGAACCCATATAAAGGGAACCAATGCCACAAAGTTGACCTCTGACTTTGACATTCACATAATGGCACACATGTACTCACCTACACAAGTGTACACATACATATACAATAAAAAATAATGCTAATAAATGAATACAAAACCAACCCAAGGCTTGAGGCCTTTACAGAAGAATATGCTCTAATGTCCACATGAAAAAATTTTCATTTTCTTCAGGAAGATGCAAAGGAAAACCATACATAACACAGACTTCAACACATTCAGCAAAGGTCTAAAATAATTTTTTTCCTTTCTGTTCCAGATCGTGCAAAAATGAAGAAAAGGAAAACAAATAGAGGTTTGGGTGAAGAAAAAGCACTCAGTTCTGGATCCTTGCAAATGTGGAACAGCTAATGAGAAAAGTTTTGCTGAGACTTTTGAAACAGGAAGGAGGCAGCTAGCTATATAATCACCTTGGAAATGTCAGACTTGTATGGAGATTAAAGCAGTTTTAAGGAACTCACAGGTTTGGGGTTAGCAGTGAGAAATGTGTGGGGAGGACAAGACAGCCCTCTGATTTGGAGAGCTGCTATGGTTGAGCCAGCTGCAGCTATGGCAGTTTAGGGGCAAATGATATAGAAAGAATAATCAGCTTGATAGCTGATGCTGACACAGCTTCTCGGCTCCAGATAGGCGAGGGCAGTCTCTGGGAGGATCAGTATACAGCACTGTGACAAATTTACCTTTGGATTCTTGCCTTCTTTTGCTAATAATGCCCGAAGTCTCTCTTGTGAAGGTGGTGCAATGAAGATGATATATGGTTTCAAATCTGAATTCCGGAGGGCCTTCAAGGACTGTAAAGATATTTTGTTTTTAAAAAGAACTCCTAGCATTGAACTACTTCTCAATAATATATATTGTTAAGGTGTCTATAAATGTTTCCAGGCATTTCATAAATAATTCATAATATTTTGATAGTGTCTTCATTCACTGCAAAAGTATGTAAATATAAATTGACATATTATCTTAACCTAGTATTCTAGATACTGAAAGAAACATAAAAAGACATTGAAGGGATTATAACTGCCTGACAATAAATAACATGGATTATGACAACCACAATAAAATTAATTTTTGAGGAATTAGAATCAAGGAAGTTGCTAAAAAGCAAAACCAGAGAGAAAAACTTTTATACAGGCCAAATATGCCCAGAAAAAGCAGACTGTATGCACTAAGACCTGTGAACTAACACTGTCCTATCATTGCATTGCTGTGCATGCTCAAACTGAAGTACTCTCACGTGATTACACATACATGCCTTTTCCTATATGAAGAAAGAAGTAAATAAAAAAGTTTTGTTAAATAAAATGTTTATGGTTGAAAAAGCACCTAGTATCTCTGCCCTCTAGAAACCCAAACTCAAACCCCCATAACAAACAAACCAAAACCCAATCATTATTTTAGGAAGCCATTTTAGATTCAATTTCTAGAGCCTGAGCATTCTACTTAATGCCCACTGATTTTGTGGCTTGAGTTGGTATCAGCCACAGACCCAGCTACATTCATCAAAGTTCTATGTTAAAGTTGAATCATTTATAAAAAGCAAAACATTTATATAGCAAGAACAATTCTTTTAAAATAAAAATCTAAGAAGTACTGACTAGTAGTTTTGTTTGGCTTACTCTGTGAAATAGGTGAATGCAAGTTTTATTACTCAGATAACACTGAGCCTTCATTGTGACACTTGTGAGCCAGTGAAAACACTGGCCTTTTAAACCTAAGGATAACCTCCAAATTTTCTAATTTTTCTGAGATCAGAAGAGACATATTCTGGAGACTTCCAGTACAGTCAGTGCCAGAGTTTACTGCACTTTAAGTTAAAAAATATATGCATGTTGAAAGTGAAAGAGATTTAGCTATATATTTGATTTTACAAAGTGAATGGAAAATTGCAAGGGAACTTAAATAATTTGTGTCATTCTTGGACTAAACACAGATTTTTACTAGACTACTTTACAAAATATGTCCTCCAAGTTTAATACTCTAAAAAACAGTTCTAGTTTTACCTGTGTACGAAGACTTAAAAGACATATTTTGCCAGAGTTGATTACTTGTCGTACAGAATCTATGCTGGTTCCATACAAATTTTTCTCAAATTCACCATGTTCAATGAACTTGCCAGCTGCAATGTCTGCTTCAAATGCTTGCCGGGAAACAAAGTGGTAGTCTCTACCAGCCACTTCGTGGTCTCGCCTGTTCCGTGTTGTATCTAAGCAAACAAAACCAGACACAAATAATATACACAATGGGATGGAGGGATGGGATCAGTGGTTAGGAACATGTACTGGCCTTTCCAGAAGATGTGTGTTCAGTTCCTAACACTCACAGATTGCAGCCTACAACCACCTGTAACTCCAGCTCCAGCATACATGGAGCCATCTTCACAGGCAAGTGTACTAGTATGTACACACTGCTCCCACAACATACATATAAATAAAAATGAAATAAACCTATAAAACAACAACAATAGTAAAATATGGATCAGTGTGAAGAAAAATAATTCGTCAACCCAGGAAGAATTTTTATTTTATAAAAATTATAAAATTATTAAACAATGAATTGAGGAAATGTTAAGGGCCTGAGTATTTAGTACTGTTCCTACAAAAACATAAACAAAAATTGTCTGTGTTGTTTTAATAGTTAACCTTAGTTACTTTGATCCATCTTATGTTATACTGTAAAACACTGCTAAATCATCTTTCCTTAAAGTTTATTTCTAGTATAGGAGGTACTATGTAATCTTAAAGTTGTTTTCAGAAATTACTTCTAAGTTTCTATCTTCAATGTCAGTTTAAAGAATAAGGAATTGGGTTTTCTTTGCAATAGGGAAAGAAGCCTAAATTAAAATTCATTTAGAAAATCCCTTAGTACCATGCATTTAGAAAAAAATTTAAGTTCCTCAAGTACTACTTTTAAAAAAATTTGCCAATAGGTTTGGTTAAATAAATTTCCTGCCACTGATAGCACTTTTCAATAAAATGAACATGTTCCTGTTTAGTTAAGATTCTGAGAAAAGCACAGGAAAATGGGAATGTGTCCAAACTTACGAGGAACTGCAGATGCAAAGCGGTCTTTTTCTTTGTTCATGAGTCTCTGCCGCAGTTCATTCTGGCCACAGTTTTGTGGACCAATCAAGATAATAGGTCTTTTCCTATTTGCTGGCTGATGGTAAAGTGACATTTCCTCATATGTTAAGATCTCTTCATTGTCGTAATCTTTGGGAAAAGAAAGAGTTAAGACTTTCAGATATAATTAATGTCCTATCAATAAAGATATACTTTTAAGTTCTATTGGTGTTGTGTGTTGCTTTTAAGGTAGGAGCTTGCTCTGTAGGCAAGGCTAGCCTCAAACTAGAGTGATCCTCCTGCCTCAGCCTCCCAAATGCTGGGATTACAGGTGTTAAAGCCACCCTGCCTAACTTAAAAATAACTAGTTTACAATGATTACTATAACAGAGGAGACTGCCAGAGGATAAGCTTATATTAATATGCATCATTTTCATAAGGACTCCTCATAATAGGGTTATTTTTAGGATCAGATATAATGGAGAGCAGAATGGGTAAACATTTGCATACAGTGTATTCAGTGTAACTAGTGTATGAGTGCTAGAATGATTTGCTCTAGTAAGTATGACTTTAAAATAAGTCATACTTGTATGCAAACTACATACAAGGAGCGGAGTAACATTCCTAAAAGTCCAGGATTCAGATAAAGCCAAAGCTATGAGTCAGAACAATTAACAGCCTGGCATGCCCTAGGAAAAGGAACCAGTAAGCTCTATGAGGGAGGGAACCTTTTTAGTCTTACTAGTGCCCAGCACAGAGCTGGAGCTCAGACTATACTTTTTAAAATTCTAACTCAACTGTTCAGTAGCTGTAACAATTTGAATGGAAAATTCAATATCTGAACTTGGATAATTAGTCTGCACCTCAAGGACTTTACTGTGAGGTGAAAGCACACAGCTTACTGCCATGAAGCACAGCTGGTACTTTACGCAGCAACGACAAATGCTTCCTTTATCAAAGCCATTTGCTTTATTCTGAGCTTCTTCTAACGTGTACAATCACACTGGTAGCATTCTGATTTCCACACTTACTCAATTCCACATCTAGGGGCTTCAGATTTGCCAAGTATCCTACAGTATAGGAGTGCTCAGAGCTGCACTGATCAATTTGGGTCTGTTTCAAGAAATGAAATAAGAAGTGCTGGGATGTGGCTCTGCAAGAGAACACTTGCCTCACAAGCATGGAGGGCCTGGGTTCAATTGTCAGTAAAGAGAGAGATCAGGACTGGAGGCAGAAAGGAAAGAAAGTAAAGAAAACAGGGTTCATACCCAGACTTAGATCTGCAATGTACTACTAAATAAAGAATAATCACAGCTTTGGCCAGTAAGATTAAAAACATGTTGAATCTCCGTAGTTACATAATGTGCCAAGCTTGTTCTAGAAAGTAATTATTAAAGCTGACTGAATTTTAGATTCAGCATTCTACAGAGCATCTAAACATTTAGCCTGGTGGTGGTGGAGGTACATGCCTTTGATCCCAGCACTCTGGGAGACACGGGCAGGGGATCTCTGTGTTTGAGGTCAGCCTGGTCTACAGAGTGAGTTTCAGGACAGCCAGGCTGCACAAAGAAACCCTGTGCCAACAAACAAACAATCTATAAAATTTTCTTTGTTACTTTATGCTGCACAAAAATGCTTCATATTTCATATTTTTAAAAAGGAGTGCTTCTGACTTATTATCTGGCTTTTGTAATGTGGACCAAAGCAGGACTAAGAAATTTAAATACAATGAAGACCAACCAAGGATGTAATGAATCCAGAAAATAAGACTGAGTTTACACAAAATTACAAGTGGTAGTGATAGCTGAACTTAGGTTAAGTGCTAGGTGTCCCATCAGGCAAAATGTTAGCTGCAATATAAAAAACTTAAAACAAAAAAACAAAAAAAACAAAAAACCTTACAGGGAACAATTACAGATGCTATAAAACAATTCTTATTATACCTGAGATTTGAACTTACCATCATTTTTATTGGCATTATATAAAACCTTTTTCCTCTTCTTTTTATTCTTCTTTGCACACCATAGTTTTCCTGTTGATCAAAAACATAAATACTGCATTTATTTCCTTAAACAATGCTATTTCAAATTGATTTAAGATTTAACATTTATTACACTGTTGAAAACTATGTTTTAATTATTATTTTATATTAATTACACACTGTGGACAGATGTCCAATATTTTCATGGAAAGATAACGAGTCTTGCTTCTTTTATTACTCCTTCAATGCATATACTTTTCCTTCTTGATAGTTGTAGTGTATGTATTCCACATGGTCCCAGATGAAAACCCAAAGACTCTTGCTTTTACTAATAACAAATACAAGTGTCTAACCTGATTTTTCTGGCTCCTTATCTTCTTCTATAGTTTGCTTCATGGCTTCCCTTTGCTGCTGAAAGCTTTTCCCTAAAAATCCAAAGAGAAAGAACAGTAAAAAGATTTAAGATAAAAGAGTAAAAATACTTCTAATCAAAGAGAAAACAATGGAAGTAATTTTTCACACTGCCTTCCAAACCTTTCTGCCAACACAAGAGTAATTCCAGCTAAGATACATAGCCTACAAATGCCCTTTTTAAAAAGACGGTTTATTTTTAATTATGTGTATGTGTGTGTTGGGGGGGGATGTGTGCAATAAAGATACTGGGAACCAAATTGGGTCCTTTGAAAGAGCACTATGCAATTTTAATCACTGAGTCATCTTTTCAGTCCAAGCCTGAAAATGTTTGTTTTGAGCCTGCTTATCAAGCTAATCATATGTATTATTTACCAATTATAAAGATAAATAATAAACTAATATCTGAAATTTTAATAACCCAACTTTTAAAAAGTTTTCAATAAGCATTACTATATACAAAGTACTATGCTAAGTTGTTTAATGGTTCTGGTCACTGAGGACTATCTCAAACACATCAATTCTACACAAAAACTTTGAAAACAGTAAGCAGGCATTCATCATTTTCTGATTCCAAGTCACCATTCAGCATACGCATTTGCATTTATTTTCATAATTTTTCTTTTTTATGTATGTGATAATTTCATTTCTATTTTGTTACCAATGATAAAAATAAATACAAAATACATTTTTGTGTGTTTTACAAAACACAAAAATCCATTTTCCTAAGAGATTATGAGTTTATTTATTTATTATTTTTTTAGTTTTTTTGAAACAGGGGTCTTACTATGCAGCTCTAGCTGTCCTGGAACTTACTCTGTAGACCAGGCTGCCCTTTTACTCACAGAGCATCACTTGTCTTTGATTCCTAAGTGCTGGGATTAAAGGTGTGCATAACCATGCCTGGTAAATGATTTATCTATTTTCATTTTCTGTCTATTGGAGTTTTGACTGTTTGTATATATGGGTGAGGGATGGAGTTACAGAAAGCTATGAGCTGCCATGTGGGTGCTGGGAATTGAACCTGGGTCCTCTGAAGGAGCAGCCAGTGTTCTTAACTACTGAGCCATCTTTCCAGCCCCTCATGGATTAAGATTTTAATGTAAAATGGTTTTAAGGTAACCAACCTTCATTTTTTCATATCTCTGCCTTGACATAAATTAGAGGAGGAGATGCTGCAGATTTTGATTTCAGCCTTCTTCACTGCTAAGGACATGTTCTACCACTGGGCTGTGCCCTCAGTCCTTTAAATGCTTTCAATCCTGTCTCTTACCTGGAACAAGTCCAGCTAGCGGCTGATTGTCTTCGTCCCCCTCTCTATATGCCTGCCACCAATTTGGATCTTCTTGACTGATCACATGAAGTATATCTCCTTTTTGAAAAGACAGACCTAACTCTCGACATGGAACATAAGGGTCATCTGAGGGGTCATAGTCAAAATGAGCTTTTACATGGATCTGAAACAAAAAAGGGTTAAAAATAGGAGCAATAATAATTAAATGAGGAAACTATCCAACACAAATACAAGTTAGGTGCTATAGCAGTGCAGAGCAATGAACTGAAAGGGCATTTAGTTAGGGAATAGTACTTTAGGGTAGGATTTGCTTCAGCTCATCTGCTGACATCACTGTATACTACAAAGAAGTAGATGAATGTTCAAGCTGTTACTGTTAGCAGCTAACAAACTGGGGTACAAAAGTGCCTCAAAGGTAAGGTAAGACTTAAAAACAGTCTGACTGGGACAACAGTGATCCCCAGTAGGGCAGGAAACTTCTAAACTGAAGTTTAGAAACTTCTAAACTATGACTGTTTGTATATATGGGTGAGGGATGGAGTTACAGAAAGCTATGAGCTGCCATGTGGGTGCTAGGAATTGAAGCCCCACTACAAGAAAAGGTAGAATCCTGTCACAGGTCCCATGCAAGCAATGTCAGTTTCCATGGGGCTGTCATAGCCAACTGACTTCATGACCATGTAGCTGTGTCTTAATCACTCAGTGTTTCTTTTAAAAGTACATGTAATTAGCATGTTCCACATTGCTAAATTATCTAAATCAGAAATCAACTGGGGGAAATATCCTTTTTGCATTTGATCCCAAACTATGCAACACATTTATAGAAAATAAAATATGAAGGAACTGATGTTTCTAGAAATGAGGACAGTGTTTACGCTGAGTGTGGGGTGGAGTCAAGGTGGCTAAAAGAGATAAGAGGTGGAGATTTTAGATGCTGGTGACATTCTGGTTCATTAACTGGGTGGTGTTTATAAATATGGCAAAGATACTTTGTCCAATTTGAAAGTGGGATTTTGCTTATCTAAGAGAGTTCTCTAGGGAACCTTCTATTATTCTTTCTTTTTACACCCCGACCATAATTTCCTCTCCCTCTTCTCCCAGTCTTTTTGCCCCCATCTCCTCACTCATACACTCTTCCTCCCTTTTTCTTCAGAAAAGGGGAGGCCTCCTATGGATATTAAGGGCCCTGGCATATCAAGTTGCAGTAAAACTAGGCGCATCTTCTATTGAGGCTAGTAAGAGGCAACACAGTAGGGTGAAAGGGTTCCAAAGTAAGGCAACAGCATCAGAGAGCTCCTGCTCCTATAGTTAGGCGTCCATGCATGTTCCCTGGTTGGCAGGGAATCTTCTTCTTTCTTCTTTCTTCCTCTTCCTCCTCCTCCTCCTCCTCCTCCTCTTTTTTTTTTAAGACAGAGGTTCTCTGTGTAGCCCTGGTTGTCCTAGACTCCCTTTGTAGACCACATTGGCCTGGAACTCACAGAGACCTGTCTGACTCTGCCTCCTAAGACCTGGGATTAAAGGCATGTGCCACCACACCTGGCTGGGACCTTCTAATATTGATATGAAAATAGACACTTGATTAAAACCTTGAACACTTAGTATCAAAATGGATTTTAGAAAGTTCTGTGGGATAGCAGGGAATCAAAACACCATTGGGATAATGCTTAAAAAGAACATACATATAAATTATTAACTCTGATATAAGAAAAATAGTATGATCCAGAACTGTGTTTTAGGAACTTACATGAAAAATGTTTCCAAAATCTATTTCAATTGCTACCTTTTGTATGAGTATGTTTTTAAACCTTGTAATCCTAAAAAGTAAAAATTTAAGCCTTACTACAAGTCGTGGGAATTACTCTAATAGGCTTTTTAGGTCTACCCAACTGGGTGATTTGTCCGGCTGATTTTATTAAATCATTGTCTGAAAGCAATACCCATCACTGTTCCTCAAAGTGTATTGCTGGAGCACCAGACACAGACATATACTGAAAGGCTGGACTCTTGTTTTTGTTTTTTAAAAGATTTACTTATTTATTATTTATACAATATTCTTCCTGCATGTGTGCCTGCACACCAGAAGAGGGTACCAGATCTCATTATAGTCGGTTGTGAGCCGACTCACAGTGATTCTTCGACCTCAGCTTCTGAAATGCTAGGATTATAGTTATGAGCCACCACGCCTAGATGGTCATTTCATTCTTATGATTATAAAAAAGAAAACAAGTGCCAAGCATGGTTTTCATGGCTTTAATGTCAGCACTTGGGGCATAGACAGAGGCAGGCATATCTCCGTGAGTTTTAGGCAACTGCTCTACAGAGAGAGTTCTCCAGGACAGCGAAGGCTACATAGTGAGATTCTGTCCCCCAAATCCCAAAAGAAAGAAAACCTGTGCTAAATTAATTACTTCAGTACTCTGATTTTGCATTTGCTGAAAACAACAAAATAAATCATCAACTGAGATGCAACAAGTATTGACATAGCATGATAATTTTATCTAAAAATTTAACAGGGCCAGTAAAATTGCTCAGTGGGTAAAAGTGCTTGCGCCAAACCTGATGACATGAGTTCAATTCCTGACACCTACACTGTAGAAGAGAACTCTCTCACCACCATATATATATGCATCCCATAAATAAACGAACAACAAATAAATTAATATCTGTGAAAGAAATGACTTTTGTTAAAGATACTTCCAGACTGCATGAACAACAGAAAAGCTGATAAATATATCTCAACCTCTGACAGCCATTCTCAAAAGACAAAAATCATGTACAAGGATGGATTATTAGCAGCATTTACAAATGAGAATATAAAAGAACAGAGCCATTAGGCTGTCTGAATTCAGAGGCCAAGTCTGTTTCCTCATGTCCCTTCTTATAAAGATTGTACACAGAAGAAAAGTTACAAATGCATACAAATGCATACAGAAAAAAACAAAACAAAACATAGAGCGCCACATAAAAATAGACCTGTGATAAACTATGGAAGAAAAATGAAACCAGTCTTTTTCGAATTGTTAAATTTTTATAAGAAGAATAACAGTTGTGGATGTGAGCAAGGCACAATGCTATACATGTATGAAAATGTTATGATGAAACCATTATTTGATACGATAACTAAACAAAAACAATAATAAAAAAAGAGTAACAGGCATAGTTCAGACTTCCATGTCAATCTAAGACCTTAAAGCCTCATTATGATGTAATTCATAAGCTACACAGTTCATGGTTTTAGTATACTACCATCGATATTGTTAGAATATTTTAACCCTCCTGCACCCAATACGGATGAGAGGCTATTCCCATTCTCTCCCAATTACCGAACAGCACATCTAAGGAGCCACTGATAATTTTCTGTTGCTTGGATATTGAATATAAGTAAACCAGTAAAGGTCTTCTGAACAGTCTAAGTTTTAAAAACTCATCTATGTTGTAGCATGTACTCACTTCAGCCCTTTTTATCAACTAGTATTCTCATCAGATAATATTTCAGTGTACAGAGAGACAAACTATAATATATTTTTGAATTATTGCTGGTGACTATTTTTAAGTTGTTTTTACTCTTTGGATCTTACAAATAATACCAGCAGAAATATTTATGTACAAGCTGTTCTGTGAATATATGTTTCCAATTCTCTTGCATATATGCTTATCAGAAATTGCTGGGTTGTATAGTATATCATGTCTATCATTTAATAGAGCTGAGTTAAATACTTAACATGTAAAACACACTAAAGTAATGAGTTATACATATTTGTTCAAGTACCCTTCTCCTTTACTTAACTGAATATAACCATCAATAAGAATAAAAATTCTGAAACAGAAGTATGTTGTATATTTTACTTTTAAAAAGTTCAGAGTTGGGGCTGGAAGGATGGCTCAGAGGTTAAGAGCCACTCTTCCAGAGGTCCCAAGTTCAATTCCCAGCAACCACATGGTGGCTCACAACCATCTATAATGAGATCTGGTGTTCTCTTCTGGCATGCAGGTATACTTGCAGACAGAACATTGTACAGACAATAAATAAATAAATATTTAAAAAGTCCAGCACTTACTAGATTTTTTATGTTGATATTTATACTTATTTAAATGAAATCATTTGATTTTTCTGTTTTTACTTGAACACACTATATTCAGCGAAGTTTCTGATACAGAAAAGGAGACAGAAGTCAAGGAACAATGAACAATAAATATTTAAAAATTACTTACTACAGTTTCTTTGGCAGGCGGAGGCTTGATCTGTTGACTAGGAATCAGAACAAATGTCAAAGTACCATGCATATCAGACTGTAACAGAAAGGTTAAACTACTTTAAAATCATTCCATGATCTTATGCTTAATACTCCCTAAACAAGATGATCCCAGAATGCCTTCAGTCCTATAGGAAAACATTTCCATTCTGAGATGCCTTCCTTATTCAGTCTTTCTGTCCTACTGTTTCTGTATTGTGCTCTATAGCTAGATTTGTAGTTATTGCCCAGTACAGGGCTAGCTGTATTCAGATATATCCAGCCTAGACAGTAATCACAACTTTTGGTACTAACAAAACAGAAAACAATGTTCAACCCAAAACAGCCAACAATAAAATGGCTACAAGGGATTACCAATGGTACTCTGCTCTACTGAAGCAATGAGCTGAGATCTGGTGGAAATAGGGACCTGGGCATTTTGTAGCTTTTACAATAGATTTCAGCACGTAGTAAGCATACTACTGCAACAATGGATGCTAAGTAATTAGAATAGAATTAGTAGTAGAATATGGTTTGGAGCAGTGAGTACTGGCCGGTGCTCGTGATCTCAGCACTTACGAGGCCAGTGGAGGAGAATAATCAAAAAGGCCAGTCTGAGTGACATAGAGAGTTTTACTTCAGACCTTGTCTCCAAAAAGAAGAAGAAAAACCATAATTAGTGTTGTATATAATATGATTAAAAATCATTATCTTTCTTTTTTTTTTCTTTTAAACAGGGTTTCTCTGTGTAGCCTGGATTTGCTTTGTAGACGATGAGGCCAGCTTTGAGGCCAGCTTTGAACTCACAATGACCCTACCTTTGCCTCCCTGAGTGCTGGGATTATGGTGGCTTACAAGCTTATGTGACTCCACTTCTAAGGGACCCAATGCCCTTTTCTGACTTTCTCAGATACAGGCATGTACGTGAAGCACACACATACAAAACACTCATGGGCAGAAAACAAATAAATTAAAAATTTTTGTTCAAAAGGGTAATTAGAGGTGAATACCTGATTATACTAGCACTGCCCATCAGAATTTGCTCAACAGAAACGTGCTGTGGCTATCTCAGGATAATAGCCATTAACTACACAAGAAATCTTGTTCAAATGCTAGCGAGAATAAGAAACTGAATTTTAATTTAACTCAACAGGCATGCATGAGATGTTTATACACATATAAAATAAGAACACATCTTTTAAAAATTATAAAATTAAAAAGAAAATTGTTATAAGGTTCAAAGTAATTAAAAAGAAACAAGCCCCAAACCAAAAATAAAATAACAAAATTGAAAAATACTGTAAAAGTTAGGCTAAAGACTATCATATTCATCAGCTATTTTTAAATATGCTCTGAAATATTCTCTTTTAAGTTTATAATAACAAAATAGGTTTTTATTCTACAAAGATTTGACAGTCTGAACATACCAACAAGTCAAAAACCTCATTGACATCTTTCCCCCGGATTTCAATGCCGTTGATCTCCAGAACTTCATCTCCTTCATGTAGGAGCCCACTCTTCTCTGCGGCACCTCCTTTCACTATTCGGCTGATGATGACAGAGTCCATTTCATTACGAACTGTGGCACCCTAAAAACACCCAACATCTAATTTAAACATAAAAATGCAATTTTTGTTAAGCATTTAATTTTTAAATTCTATTTTTAAATTTAATAAGACTATCCTTCAATGTTTCTTGAGACTTACTCACATTGCTATATCAACAACTATAAGTACATGAAAGCTAAATATTCACCCCCAAACATTTTTGTTTCAGAAATACTTTACCAATTAAAATTCTGAAAGACATGCACTTCTGAGGCATATTACAGCAGAAAAAAAAAACGTATTCAGTGTTTAAAGACATAAAATCATGGTTTCTATTCCAACAGCCAGAAAACCTCTAGATATAACTAATAAACACAGTACCTAACTATAAAGAATCTCTTAAAATTCAAAATATAATTAAGGGATAAATAGCAATATGGTTAATATGCAAATATTAAATATTACAGCTACAGTTAAATGTATTGAATATTATAGCTACAGCTAAATGTATTAAATATTAATATTTATTATACAAATTGGAAAAACAGTGGGAAAGCATATACTCAAAAGCTACAAAAGAAAGACAAGTCAAAACTTATTTTCTGGGGCTCAGTGGTAAACAGCACTTGCTGTTCCTGCAAAGGACCTAGGTTTTGTTCCTAGCATCCAAACTAGCGGCTCACAAACCCCTGTAACTCACAAACCCCTGTAAAAGGATATCCAACTCACTTTCCTCCTCTATAGGCACCTGCATGCATGCGGCGCACATACATACACTCAGATATATATATACGTATGTATGTATAATAAACATCTTTTGAAAACACCTAATTTTCTTAAGCATTTGCTCTATTATTGTCATGACTTTTCCTTTTATTCTCCTAGAACAAACTAGTTACTTAAACTGCTTATACATCCTTTTTAAAAATATTTTTACTACTCTATCACTTAGTGTGTGAGTGCATACGCGTGTGTGCATACGTGCGGTGTACACGTGTGTGCGTATGCATGACAAAAGTCCTCAATCACCCTCCATCTTGTATTTGGAGCAGAATGACTCAACCTGGAGCTGGCTGACCTGGCGAGGCTGGTAGCTACTCTGCAAGCTCCAGAGAAATCTGCCCATCGCGGAGAGAGCTAGAAATTCAGATGCATGCCAGCATGCCTGACTCTTCCCATAGGTCTGGGGCGCAGCTTCCAGATCATTCATGCTTGTGTGCCAAGCACATTCCAGTTAAGCCATGTACCTAGCTCCCAACCAGATTTTCTAGCTGTTGTTGTAAAGAGTAAGTTGGAAGGAAATTAGTTTTCTCTTCATCCTCATTAAATATTTCATAAGCTATTATTTTCATTAAAATATGAGTGAGATAAGGTAATGAAATTAGTTTTTCAACTGAATAAGGGTTAAAAATATGCAAGAGCATATTAGAACACCAACGAAGAGAAAACTCTCCAGGAACATAATCGTGCAGCATATAAGGTCTTTGCATAGAAAAAAAAAATCTCAAATCAGACGTGGGAACACTTACCAATGGAATATCCCGAGCCTTTTCTATACGAACTATTTTTACAGTTTCTCCTCCATACTGCCCAACACTTTCATAAACTCTCTCATCTGTAATGGGCTCTAGCTGCATTTCCTGCTCAGCAACCTTATCATGGGCCAGTAAAAGTGCCTGTTTCAAAGAAACCCACAGTATTTTAAGTAAGAACATGACTTATTTCTGTATAGTTTCCTCATGCACATAGTATGATGATCAAATCCTTAAAGGCCTAAAACATCACAGATAATCATGTAAGAGACTTTTGCCCAGTTTTAAAATAATTTATTTAAAAACATGACTTCAATAGTTTTACATATAAAAACGTATAACCCAGCAATGATTACTTTGCAGAGAGCGTTACAAACTGCATGATTGGGTCTCTTCCAACTCTACGAGACTACAATTTAAAAACCAAAAAGATATATACTGGAAACATATAATATTCTCTTCTTTTTCTACCTGAATATGTGGAGCATTCAATAAAGCAGTTAATTCTTGTCCTTCCTTCTGATGGACTGGCTTTAAGACAGTTTGTACCTAAGGGAAAATAAAAAGTTTGGGTTTTTTTTTTGTATTGTTTTGTTTTGCTTTGGTTCATAGGAATTAGCACTATCTATGCAAGGCAGTACTTTATTTTTAAGTGAAAATCAGAATGGCAAAAAGCACTTAAAGTGAAGAAAAGTACTAAAGAAACATGAAGAAAAAACCTTTTCCCAGAGATCTTTGAATCTTATTATGTTTGGGTAAAAATAACATTCCTTAAAAAAATTTAAAGCACACTTCAAATATCAGGGTATTTACATCTACAAATAAACCATTTCAAGTTTGAAAGTTTCTCCCAACACAGCATAAAATATGCCATCAATAATGATCACATGATACCAGCTACCATGCTATCTTAGAGATTTTAAATACTATGTTTGAAATATGTATGTTTCAAGAACTACATTAAAAATCTGAGATGAAGGCCATGCATGGTGGCTCATGCCTTTGATCCCAACACTCGGGAGGAAGAGGCAGGTGGATCAATGTGAGTTCCAGACCAGCCTGGTCTACAAAGTGAGTCCAGGACAGCCAATACTACACAGAGAAACCCTGTCCTGAAAAGCCAAAAATAAAATAAATTAAGTTAAATAAATCTGAGGTGAAGATTCAAAGTTACAGATTCACAAGATAAATGTAGTGATGTTGGACAACGTATTCTTAAGATAACTTCCTGTTAGGATCAACTTTTCAGGCCCCTGCATCCTTACATGCAGGCTGGCATCTATCCTGTAAAGCTCTTCAGAGACTGACCAGATGACCTCAATCGGGGTCCATACCTTTGTTCGTTCTTTCCTAACACTGCTGGATGGCCTACCTTAACTACAGGTGTTGTCTACTTTTCCACCCTTTTCAAAGAACAAGCTTTTAATGTCATGATTATCTATTCTTCCTACTAAGAAATTTAATTACTCTTTTCTCATTTCCTTGGTTTCTAATTACTTGAACTAAAAATTAAGTCCACTTATTTGCAATTTTCTATCTTTTACCAATAAATACAAAGGCAGATAAGTTCCTTTGTACACTTTCTCCCCAAAATTATATTGTGTGTTCTTAGTGTTCATGCCTCTTTTTTGCCTTTGGACCTCCAAACCCTCACTTCAAAATGGTACACTGTAAAAATGTGAACAAAACAAAAATTATTACTGTTAATAAAAGAGTAACCAACGAATAAAACAAAATTCTATATCCTTTATGGCTATTTTACTAGCAATTCTTCAATTAAACCTAACAGATGAAAAGATGAAGATTAATTTTACCACAACAAGCATACCAAAACATTAAAAAGGGTTGGAGAAATGGCTCCATAGTTAACACACTTGCTTTCTTGTAAGGGATTGGAGTTGATTCCCAGAACCCATAGCAGGCAGCTAACAACCACCTGTAACTCCAGCTTCAGGGAATCTGATAAATTCTTCAGGTCCCTGCAGGCATACACATATACATACATGCGCGCATGCACACATACACACACATGCTAAAAAAAAACTGTGACAGTGTTAGGTGTTGTGGTACACACTTTTAATCTCCTCACTCCACAGGCAGGAGGATCACTGAGTTTCAGATAAGCCAGGGCTAACCAGTGAAACACTGCCTAATAAACAAAAAATAGTACTGAAACTACTCTCTCCTCCAGTTCAGGTACTTGTACAGCAGGTAAAAGCTGACTTTAAAGACAGTGCTTTTCTTTTGAAACATCATGAAAACTACACTAAGTTAATTTGAAATCTATCACTCCTGACCAGATACCTTTTGACTACGGAAGAAAGCAAGTCTGAGAAAGACAGTTTTGTATTAAAAAATATATCCAGACTTCATAAATGCTACAAATCAACTCAGTAATAATATTCTATGTAAGATACTTTTTCCTCATTTCTATTTTAGTCAGTTCCTAAACATCTCTGCAATCTTTCTTAAAAACAAAACAAAACAAAACTCCGGTAAATACCTCTTTCTTTCTCTACCAGGAAGCCCAGATGCTATCTATTCTTGTGTCGGTACACATCATTACCTACACTTACAAAGCCAAAGGAACTGATTGTTCTTCTATGTTACTGGCCCCTTCCCACTGGCCTAAAATCAGAATAAATTAAAACTCAAGACTGGAAATCTTTTACAGTAAATAATTATTTCATTAAAGAAATGACCAATAACCACACAAAAATAGTGTCAGCAATCATGATGGAAATGCAAACCAAAAACAAAGCACCACCCAGTGAGCATTTTCTGTAAAAGCTATTTTTACAGTTTCCCATCTACACTGGCCAATACTTTCATAAACTCTCTCATCTGTAATGGGCTCTAGCTGCATTTAAATTTCAACTGAAATATTCATCTGTAGACATAAATACCATAATATTTGAAATATGCTTTAGAAAGATTTTTTTGTTGTTTTGTTATATATTTATTTTTATTTATTACACTTTATTCACTTTGTATCCCCCCATAAGCCCCTTCCTCCTCCCCTGCCAATCCCATCCTTCCACCTCCTTCTTCAGGCATGCCCCTCCCCAAGTCCGATAGGGGAGGTCCTCCTCTCCTTCCTTCTGATCTTAGTCTATCAGATTTCTTCAGGAGTGGCTGCATTGTCATCTTCTGTGGCCTGGTAAGGCTGCTCCCCCCTCAGGGGGAGGTGATCAAACAGCAGGCCAATCAGATTATGTCAGAGGCAGTCCCTCTTCCCATTACTATGTAACCCACTTGGACACTGAACTGCCATGGGCTACATCTGTGCAGGGGTTCTAGGTTATCTCCATGTATGGTACTTGGTTGGAGTTTTTTTTAAAGTAATGTTATATTTATCCATAATAAGAATGAAAGCTCTCTGGAAAAAGTTTTTTTTTTTTTTTACTTATGTTACCTGAGAGTCAGTAACTGGAAAGCTGGCAAGACGGTTTAGTATGTAAGGGTACTTGCCACCTGACAATCCAAGTTCAATTTCCAGAAACCACATGGTAGAAGGAGAAAGTTGACTCCTCAATGTTTTCTTCTGATCTTCACACTCACACCACAGCACATACATGCACACATGAACACACTCATACTCCACAATGAACAAATAAATGTAAAAACAATTTAAAAATGGATCAGTAATAGGAACCAACCGATCTCTCCATAGGTTTAAGTGACTAAACACATTGTGAGATAGTCACACAGTAAAATACTACCTAGAAAACATTACAAACTATTACGGCTTGAAGTCAGGTGAGTGGTAACATACCCAACATGTGTGAAGTGCTGGGTTTAATTTGATACATGCACAGAAGAGACGAACCTCAAGATTACACTGAGCAGAGGAAATCAGACACTGTCATGGTTTCAACGTGAAATGGTCCCACAGGCTCATGTTTTTGAACATTTGATCCTCTAGTGGAGGTACTGTTAGTTCTGTGAGGTTACAGAGATAGGGCCTAACTGGAAGAATTGGGCTGCTGATGGCTTATGCATGTGCATGTGTTATGTGTTATAACTTTGCTTCCAGCAACTCTGTTTCCCAATTACCAAGGCAATGTAGCCAGCTAGCTGCCCTGGACTCATTCTGCCACAATGAGCTGTCCCAGTGCCTTCCTAACCAGGATGAGCTATGTCCTCCCCAAAACTATGAGCCCAAATAAATCCTCCCCATTTATGTCACTTCTTGTTAGGTATTTAGCCACACTGACAAGAAAAATAAGCAATGCAGACACAAGAGTAAATATTGCCTATTTATTTGACATGTCCATAAATGGGGAATTACTAAAACAGAAAAGATTAGCAGATGACAAAGTGTAGAAGAGGTAGTTATTGCTTGTTCAGGGCTGTGGGTGCGCTCTGTGGATGGGGAATACCTATTTAACTTGGTGGTGGGTGGATTTCATAGGTGTACACAGATATTTACACTGAACCAACAATGAAGCACAACTTTTAATAAATGCAAACTGTATCTCAATAAAGCTGGACACACTCTACGTATACAGTTATTCCTCAGTATCGCAGAGAATTAGTTACAGGAACTCGAGTTCCATTCCCAAATCCAAGGTCACCTGAGTCTCCTACCATCCATATACTTTAAAAATTTCCCTACTTATACTTAATCTACAATAGTTGTACAGTATTGATTAGGGAATAACAAGAAGAAAAAGTCTGTGTTCAGTACAGATTTGATTTCTTTTAGCAAACTAGGCTGAATCTGAGCATGTGAAGTCCACTGATACAGAGGGGAATATACATCCTTTTTGTTTGTTTTTGTACAGTGCCTGGGACTGGATCCAGGGCCTCACGGATGCTAGGCAAGACCTCTAGCACTGAACTCGATCCTCAGCTCTCAGGGCTATCTTTTATATTTATGAAAATGAAATCATACTGTTCACATTGTTTTACAAGAGTACTGTATAAATATTTTGATTTGATATCTTCAATTGTGAAACAGAAATATGACCACTGTCATCTTCATTGCCTTTCTCTCAGCCATCTATGGGACCTTAGCATTAAAACCCACCTGATTCTTGCCTCTTTCCCAACCGTGGTACTAATGCCTTTAGAAGCCACCATTTAAACCACTGTTCTGTACATATGCCATATTGTCACCCCACAATCACTGTGCTCATGTTATCACAATTTAAGTTTTTGTCACACACACATACACAATTCAAAATTTAAAAATGTCGTAGTATCATCAAAGATTTAATCTGGATCTTAATATTTTGAAGTTTTCCAAGGCTTTATTATTTATCATTAGTAGTAAATGTTTAACTTTCTTTTTGGCAGCGCTAGGGATGGAACCCAGGGTTCTTTACCACTGAGTGCCATTCCTCACTCCTTAACTGGTACACACGTTATATTAATTTTTAACATACTTCTTCTCTGTGTGTTTATACATATGTGGCTCATTCATGCCATGGCATGCATGTGATCAGAGGGCATATTTTAGGAATTGAGTCTTACAACCGTGTTTGTTCCAGAGATCAAACGCAGGACATCAGGCTTGCTGGAAAGTGTCTCTACTTACTGAGCCACTTCACTAGCACTTAACTTACACTTCCAGCTATAAAAACAACAAACACCTCTCAATAATTTCATTAAGTTTGTTGCGATTTTCACTTACATTTCCATTTAAAAAGACTTAACTACGGAATGGAAAATGGCTCAGTGGGTAACAGCACTTGTTGCTTGTAGGACTGTACTGTTTCCCAGTACCCACATCAGAGAGCTCACAACCACCTGTGTAACTCCAGCTCCAGGGAGCTGACTCTTCTGACTTCCACAGTATCTGTAAGCACGTATGCACACACATATAAATACACATAAATAAAAATTTAAAAATTATTTAAAAAGATACAACTGAAAAGTCTGAGGTAATTTCTTGTATATGTATGTACATATGTATGTACTTTTGGTTTATGAAATGCAGTTCACACCAGGCTGGTCTCAAATTAACTACGTAGTCCATTCTTGGCTTTGGGTTCCCTTTTGATTCTTCTCCTAAGCGCTGCAATTGCAGGTGTGTATCATTAATCTCAGAACATTCCTTCTTTTAGTTATTTTACTTTATTGTTTTTGTGGTGCAGAGGATTTTATCCAGGTTTTTGCATGTACTGTGAAAATCCTTTGCCAATGAGCTTTATCTCTGCCAAATTTCTTCTAAATAAACTGGTGAACTCTGCCTGGTGATGGTGCACGCCTTTCATCCTAGCTACTCAGGAGGCAGAGGCAGGTGGATCTCTGAGCTCAAGGCCAGCCTGATCAAAGTAATGCTAGTTCAATACCTGTTTTTAAAAAATGCAATTTTCAGAAAAAAAAAACAAAAACAAAAACAAAAAAAACCAACTTTTCAATTACCTTAAACAAACAAAGAAATGGAGAAGTGGTATTTTTAAATATATATAAAAAAAAAAAACATGAAAATTTGTTATTTCTGTGGTACTGGGGATTGAACCTAGGGCTGCATACATTGTAGACAGGTGCTAGAACATCAAGCTATAGCCAGGACAACAGTCCCCCCAATGGAAAACTATCACACAGCTAATTTCAACAGTAAAAGGTGAGTTCAAGGAATAGGGGTCCATCAGCTCTTTGAAACTCTGGAAGATGGCCAGTTTCCATTCTAGAAACACATGGTCACTTGGCCATAGGCACCACTGGACCTGTCTCTCATGGTACACGTGAAGTCTTTACCATCTTAGGCATTTCAACCAGGAAAACATCTCCCTTAAGGACACTATGCTCATATATAAAGCCCCTCCCCACCTAACATACAGTCTGTAGGTCTTGGAAATTGTACTCTCTCCCAACCCCTTTTCTATCTTTTATGTGGATTCAATGAAATACATTTATTTGGTGTTTTCAGAATTATTTTCATAAGATTAAAATAACCTGAAATTCTGTAATAATGACAATGTATGCTGTCCCCAAGTCTGAGCTTATTTGTAATGTTTTAAAACCTTCAAGTTGAAAGATGTTTGAGGACATATTAAACATTGAACCTCAGCTAGCATAAGAACCTGAAAGTTAAAAGCAACATGTTAACATGAGAAACTTTTATAAAACAGTAAAATTGGATAATCAGGGCTGGGAGACGGCTCATCAGTTAAGAACATGGGCTCTTCCAGAGGCTTGTGTTTGACTGCCAACATCCATATGGCAGTTAATAACTGCCTATCATTCTGGTCCCAGGGGAATCAGACACCCTCTTCTGGCCTCTACGGGCACTGAACTCATGAGGTGTGTAGACATACATGCAGGCAAAACACATATACACATACCATAAATAATAAAAATTAAATCTTCAACATTTATAGCATTTTCATGAAAAAAAAAAAACCTAGATTGTCAACAATGTATCTTAAAGAGTTATGTTTATAATTCCTTGTTATTAAGGATTATCATTTTATGACTTTATAATGCATAATGATTAAAGTAATAAAATCATACTAAATGCATTAAAATGAAAAAATTTGTTGCTATCTACTTATTTTATATACAAAATTAACTCTTAATAATCAGTGCATCAAGTAGGTTATAAATATTTTTGGAACATAATGCACATAGCAGTTTTTTCTCAATTCCCACTACCAATTACCTCAAACAATAACAATATTCAATCAATCTTTTCGAGAAGTCCTCTTTTGTGACTAATAACTTTCTTGTGGATGTCAACAAGATGTTAGACACGTACCTCTTGTACAAGGTCTTGTACATTGGAGATGAGAGGAAATGGAGGGCTGGCCTTGCTCATGTGCACTGTGACAGCATTGTGTATCTTGAATGCATTCTGAAAATCTCTATTTTGTACAAGCTGTAAAAGCAGTGAGATATCCTCCTGGCTCTGAGAATCAACCAAAGTGTGTTGGATATGTTTAAGTGAAGAAAACAAGTCTTCAACTTCTAGTAGGAGAAGGAAAGTTATCCCAAAATTAATTATTTTGGTTTAAATTCAACACGTTTTAAGATAAAATTTCTTACACTAGCAAAACTTTTTTTCTAGGAAACAAAAAGCTCGCATAGTTTTAGGTGCCAATCTGTTGTTTTATCAGATTTCACTTCATAAAACTGTTAAAGCTACAGAACAAAATAACTTACATTTTAACTAGAAAAAAATATATTCTTACTATAAAATGAGAGATTATAAAGTTAAAAACGTCAATAATCCCATTATCTAAAAACATTTATCCCCCTTAGCACCTTTTTTCATTTTATGGCATATTTTAATTGCTTTCCCACATAACTTTTTAAAAGAACATTACAAGTAATGGGTCCATCATGTTTTACATGGCGAAAGTATAACTTATTATAATAATTATGACATTAAAGTTCAGTATCTAGGATGCTTCCATTTTAACTATCACACCAATAATAAATATTTTACATAAAAACCATTTATATCATTTCTGTAATAAATGTGTCTGAAATTATGTTATGATGATTTCTAGAAACAGGTACTGGAGAGATAGCTTTCTTAGGACCCAGGTTTGATCCCAAGCACCCACATCACAGCTCACAACTGTCTGTAGCTCTAGTTCCAAGGGGACCCACCACTCTATTCTGGCCTATACACGGGGCACAGACTTACACAAAGGTAAAATATCCCTACACATAAAATAAATAAATGAATAATTTATAGATACATGAAAATAGGACTTATATGTAAGATTCTGCCATTTTAAAAGCCACACTCTCATCAAGTACCAGGCCCAACCCTGCTTGGTTTCCGAGAGCATTATATGATGGTGCACGCCTGTGATCCCAGCACTCAAGGAGGCAAAGGCATACAGATCTGACAGTCTGAGGTCAGCCTGGTCTACACAGAGAAACTGTCTTAAAAACAAACAAACAAACAAAACCCAAACCAAAACAACCAAACACAAAAAACAAAAGCCAGACTCATCTTAGAGTTTTTGCCAACCTATATTACATTAATAATTAATTACCAATATTCATTATTATTTGCAAAACTTTGATTTAATAGTAAAATAAAGTGTTTTCATATTACAAAGACCTTAATGTTTCTATTGCTGTGATAACACACCATGACCAAAAGCAACTTGTGGAGGAAAGGGTTTATTTCACCTTACTCTTCGAAGGAATAGTCTGTCACTAAGGGAGGTCAGGGCGTGAATGTAAGCAGGATGGAAACTTAGAGGGAGGAACTGAGGCAGCGGCCATGGAAGAACACTACCTACAGGTTTACTCCCTAGGGCTTGCTCAGCATGCTTTCTTGTATACTCCAGGGCCAATAGCAAAGGAATGGCACCACTCACAGTGGACTGAGCTCTCCCACGTCAATCACTTCTTAAGGAAATGCCCCACAGACTTGCCTACAGGCCAGTCTTATGGAGGCATTTTCTCAATTGTGGTTCCTTCTTCTCAGAAAACTAGCTTGTATCAAGTTGACAAAACAAACAAACAAGCCAATACAACCAGCTACTTTTGTTGTCCACAAAACTAATGAATACGTTTGTCTCCTAGAATGTGAAAGTTCCTAGTCTATACGTGTTTTTTTAATTGTTTTAAATTTATTTTTTATATTAATTACAGTTTATTCACTTTGTATCCCAGCTGTAGACCCCTCCCTCATTCCTTCCCAATCCCACCCTCGCTCTCTCATCTCCTCCCAAGCCCCTCTCCAAGTCCACTGATAGGGGAGGTCCTCCTCCTCTTTCATCTGACCCTAGCTTATCAGGTCTCATCAGGACTGGCTGCATTGTCCTCCTCTGTGGCCTGGCAAGGCTGCTCCCCCCTTAGCGGGAGGTGGTCAAAGACCCTGCCACAGAGTTCATGTCAGAGACAGTCCATTTTCCCACTGCTAGGGAACTCACTTGGATACTGAGCTGCCATGGGCTGCATCTGTGCAGGGGTTCTAGGTAATCCCCATGAATGATCCTTGGTTGGAGTATCTGTCTCAGAGAAGACCCCTGTGCCCAGATATTTTGGTACTGTTGCTCTCCTTGTGGAGCTCTTATCCTCTATAGGTCTTTCTATTTTCCCCTTCTTTCATAAGATTCCCTGCACTCTGCCCAAAGTTTGGTCATGAGCCTCAGCATCTGCTTTGATATACTGCTGGGTAGAGTCTTTCAAACAACTCAGATGTCCTTCAAGGGAGGAATGGATGCAGAAATTGTGGTACACTTACACAATGAAATACTACTCAGCAATTAAAAACAAGGAAATCATGAAATTTGCAGGCCAACTGTGGGATATAGAAAAGATCATCTTGAGTGAGGTATCCCAGAAGCAGAAAGACACATATGGTATATACTCACTTATAAGTGGATACTAGACATACAATATAGGATAAACCTACACAAATCTGTACACCTAAAGAAACCAAACAAGAAGAAGGACCCCAGGTAAGACAATCAATCCTAACTCAGAAAGGCAAACGGGATGGACATTGGGAGGAGAAAACAGGAAACAAGACAGGAGCCTACCACAGAGGGCCTCTGAAAGACTCTATGTGTATTTTTTACACCCCCAGGAAATGATTAGGCCAAAAGATTAAGAACCATTGATATTTTCTCCCCTGCTCCCCAAAGGGTTGTGTGTGTGAGGGCTACAGGGAAGAAACCTTGTCTCAGAAAACAAAACAACAAAAAGAATATGTAATTTAAGACTCTACCAAATTAACAACTTTAAATTATCTTTAGAGCGATAAAGGAAAACATCTAAGTAACTTAAAAGAAAAAAAAATTATGGAAATCTACAAAGCAGTTAAGATAATGGTCCACAATCTTAAGGGAACAACAGGTACTTCCTGAAGAGGAAAGTGTCTTATTAAAAATGTTAATAACTGTTCAAAGAGGCTCAGGGTGGTTGTCTGGGAAATGAGAAAGTGAGGCACCTCAAGCCTCACTGCTGAGTGAAACCAGGAAGCAACCTTAGTCTAGATGAGAACTGTTTCTCGGAGTCTCTTTAATTTCCGGGAGAATGAAGTTATTTTAAGACAAAAATGTTGGAAAATCCTGCACACCAAAGCTATTTACTGTTACATTAATAATATTTAAAAAAAATTATCTGTTTTCACCTATTTGTTATAATTACTAGTATTACTTCATACCACACAGCTTTTAAGAGTTTAAAAAGGCCAATTTAACCATAATAGTGACACTGTTAGTTTTTGTAATTTAATACTAATTACTCATTAGAATAAATTCCTTAGGGTAAGATTACTGATTGTAGGAGCATTTACGAATAATATGCAATGCCAAACTGTCTCCCAGATTTGTAGCAACTTATATTGCCACAAGCGATGATTGTGAGTGCCCACTTTGAAACATACCAAATTAAGGGTTACTGATCTGTTATGTTATTCTTTGGTGAACCTATTTTTACAAGACATGACCACTTGTCCAGTTTCAGAGAATCAGATGCCCTTTTCTGACCTCTGAGAAAAGCAGACACACATGTGGTGCACACATACGTGAAGGCAGAATACCCATACATAAAATAAATTTAAAAGAATAAAGAAATTTTACATTTCAATATAGATTTATTTTTTTATGTGCATGAGTGTCTTGCCCACATATATGTACATGCACCACACGTATGCCTGGTGCCCACAGAGTTCAGAGGAAGAAGTCAGGTTCCCTTGAGCTGGAGCTTTAGATAGTTAGGAGCCATTTGGCAGCCCACAACTATCTGTAACTCCAGTTCTAGAGTACCTAACACTGTCACACACGTGGAAGCAGGAAGAATGCCAAAATACATTAAAAAAAAAAAATGAAATTAGTGAGAAACATGAGAACTAATTCTAGAATGCCTACAAATTTCAACTAGGTTTAAGACCAATTTAAACCTGCTCCAAATAGCTTTCTTTACACCTGTACCAAAATCTATCAAGTCCTATTCACTTTTTCTTTAATTAATGAAAACTTTTTACCAAAACTCCAAAAGCATCACATTAATCAGTTTCACCAAACCAAAGTGGTTACTTGCACCGACGCTCAGCCTTTCTAATTAGGTGTTACCAACTATTATTGAAACACTAGAATAGCTGGCTGAATTACATATTGTTACTGCCCTTCCTGAATAGTATAATAGAGTGTATATTTTATATGTACTATTTCATTTAATCATCATTAAAATATTGAAATGTTTCTCTCTGTATGTCTATTTATATGTATATTTTGAAACAGGGTCTCATGTAGCCCACCCTGGCCTTGAATGCACTAAGTAACTGGGGAGAACCTTGAGGTCTTTGATCCTTTCACCTCCCGAAGGCTAGGCGCTGTACACCGCCATGCTTCTTGAGGCTGTGGGTTGTACACAGGGTTTCATACATGGCAGACAAGCAATCTACCAACTGAGTTTTATCCCCAGACCCTGAGAAACTTTCCCAAATTAAACGAAGACAAACAAGAACAAATATTTAAAAGACACGTCAAATTATACAGGTGGGAAAAAATGACAAAGTGATGAGACTAAAATCATGGATGAATGACATGAGGATGAAGTCCATTTCAAATTCTAAGTTTCATTTTGTTTGTTTTTTACCACAATAGGGGTGGGGGTGGAAGCTGGGGTCCAGGACCTGATTGTATATATAGTGTTGTCTATCTTTTTTTTTTTTATTATTATTATTGTCTATCTTTTTTTATTATTATTATTATTGTCTATCTTTTTAAGAAAGGCTACTATGACCTGTGGGTTCTGTCCAATACAGCAACATGTAATTTTTCTATACTAAACTTTTGAGAAAGGAATATATTATGGCTATATCACAGCCTATCCTTAAGAGACAATTTCTACAGTTAATTGTGTTTGTATACACAATAGTGCTGCATTTTGCTTCTGACATTTGAGACAAGAATCTTATTTCTAAATATTTTCTGAGTATTCTACTTAACACAATAGCAGGTGGAATATGGGGAAAGTTAAGAAAATAAGTC